GGCATCACAGAGATATGGTCATTTTACATGTTTGTCTATTATTAAGTAGGATTATTAGGTAAGCTAGGCATTTTGACAAGAATGAGGTGATATCTCACTTGTGGTTTTAATTTGCATTTCTCTGATGATTAATAATGCTGAGCATGTTTTCATAGCTTTATTGGCCATCTGTATGTCTTCTTTGGAGAAGTATGTATTCAGGTCCTTTGCCCATTTTTGATTGGATTGTTGGTCTTCATGGTGTTGAGTTGCATGAATTCTTTGTATATTTTGGAAAGTAAACCCTTATTAGATGGATTATGGGCAAATATGCTTTCCCATACAGTAGGTTCCCTTTTAAATCTATGACATTCTTGAAAGAAAAAAAAAAACCTATTGTGATGGAAAATAAGTCAGTGTTAGAGGTAGAGTTAAGATGTAGCTATAAAGGAATGGTGTGAAGGAGATTTATGGGGCAGTGAAAACTATTCTGTATCCTGGGTAGTGGTGGTGGTTACTAGAATATCTACATGTGTTAAAATTAATTGACTTTTACACCAAAATAAAAAAGGCAATTTTATTGTACCATGATTTAAAAAGCAGACTTAAATTTAATTCAGATGGTACTTCCCTAGCCTACAGGATGTATTATAAATTTCTTAACATGATGATAGCTCCTCAGAAACAGGGCTCTTTCCATTAGAAAGCCCAAGAATATAGTTTTTATGGGGTAGACTGAAATATGATCCTTAAGATCATGTCTGTTTCATCTCTAAGTAAGAGTAGCTTTAGTATTGGTCAGTCAAGGATTTAGAAGATCCAATTCCTTATCTGTGTTTAGAGTTTTGTGGAATCCTGGTATAGTATAGCCTACTTTGCCTACCTATTAAATGTGACTAGGGCATAAATTGTTAGTTGGGCATAAATTGAACCATCTTTGATCCCAGGCCTCACCAATTTTGCATCTAAACAGACTACTCTTTGCTACCTCAAACCCTTCTGGAGGGGCGAGGAGTGTGTAATGTATGTGTGAGGTGGGTAGATTGTAATGTCAAAAAGTTCTTTAGTGTGCATTTTGCATTTATGCATCTATTTAGCAGTCAGGACTGTACTTCTCTATATCACTTTCCCTCTACAGTTCATTTCATTGAAATTTTGGTCTTGTAGAGAATTGGCTTTTAGAACAATTACAGTGGCAGGTATTTCTCCACAGAATTGTCCCGAGTTGCAGCTATGTTTTAGAACTTTTTATGGCACCCCTTTCAATGTTATGATCACCCTGATGGAGATTCTTGGCTTGTGTTGCTGCTGTCCTTCCTGATCTGCCATCCCTACATGCGTATGGTTTGTTTAGAGATTGGATACCACCCAAGCTTATACACCATTATCACTGCCGTTCATCTCCCCCCATCCCGAAATAAATGATGAGCCACTGGTATGATTATGATTATACATTTATTAAAATATTTTAAGAAGCAAAACTCTTAATTTTGAAAACTGGTGTTCCATTATTTGGGAGAGGAGGAACAGGCTTACTTTATGGAACTTTTCTTTATGCTTTTATCTGTTACCCCACAACTACCTCAGTTTCCTCCCCATCCAGCCCCTGGCCCTGCTGATTTGCAGGGGCCTTTGAAAAAAAAAGAAAAAATAATGGAACAAAGAACAGCATGGATTACAAATTAGCAGACAAAGATACAAATGCAATTCCATAAGCCATATTGCCAACTGAGGTCCTTTACAGGATGGAATGATGCTAATGGGTTTGTTTGCTTTGGTGTTCATTTCTGTCTTTTATGAAACCAAAATTATTCTACTTGTGTCCTGAGGGAAGATTATGTTGACCCCCAACTGTGTCTTCTAATCAATCATTAACATAATTTATTAGATTGAAAGTCTCTTTCTTATTCTTCCCTTGCCCTTTTGGACACAGTGCAGGCCCTTTTTGGAGAGAGGGCTGACCTGTAGTATTGACACCAAAAACAATTGGTGACAGTCCAAGTCTCTTGATGTTCTCCTTCCCCACTGTTCTATCCAGGAATTGCCTGCTCAGTCCCTCAGAAATTGCTACCAAAGATGCAACCAAACCCCAGAGCATTGGCTCTTAATGGCATTTCTGAACATAATTAAGATGGGTACTTGGTGTCTGGCCCCACCACCCGAGCAATTGTGTTACTGAAAGTAGTTAATACTGAAGTCCTGAAAGGAACTTATTTATTCAGAGGATAAACAGCTCCCTGGAGAAAGAGATTACCATTCCTTTCTTTGTTTACAAGCTAGTACGTGCAAGAACAGGTGCTTAGCAATCTGTCTTCCCTTTGAGGAAGCAACTGGTAACTAAGCAATTTAGGAGATAACTAAGTGATTTATCAAACCACACCTGCTCCTGGACCTAATTACCTATCAGTTATTCTCCATGAGTTGACTCCAGCCTCAAATTCAAGTGGTTTTGTTCAATATCATTCTGGCTCAGAGTGGGTAAAAGGGAATCCAGATGGTACAACAAAGCAACAATAGCACTACAGTATACAAAGACATATTATAAGTCAGCAAAGTAAGCACAAGAGATGGAGTCTTATTATAGTTTACTATTATCAGCAATAAAAATAATTAGAAGACAGAGCCATGCTTAGGCACTGCCAAGATAAGGCTACCCTCTTCTAGGACTTCTTCTTCCTTAAATTTGCTCATTTGGAACATTTCCATTTTGGAAAAGGTCCTTCTGAGAAAAATGCAACTTGGTTCCCAACTCTGTAAGTAAGTGCGCAGGTGTTAATCTGTGCAGCCATAGAGTATTCAAGTCAGGCTGCAATGGTGACCTTCCTTATTTGATTTAACATATGTCTATGGCCATACCACCCTGAACACGCTCAATCTTGTCTGATTTAATCTAATATCTCCTCCTGGGAAGAAAGAATGATGCAGAAAAAGCCAAAGATACAGCAACAGCACACACCTCCACTGAAATATGTACAGTAAGTTTACATATGCTGATGCTTATATAAGTTTGCCGTTTACATAAGTTTCCACTAACGTTCTAAAGTTGTAGAGCTAGAACTTCTTAATTTGTTTGGCACAGTAATCAGACATTTGGGGACTATCCCCTTGTTAATATTTTTCTCCTCACCCCTGCAGAGGTAAATCACAGGCGGCTGGTTTAAGTGGGCTAGGCTGGTGGAATTCCAGAGCTGAGAACCAGTGGTTGGAGTCTGGATTGTGCACCTCGATGAACCAGCCTGGATGGAGTCAGGTGATTGAGCACGCTAAGTTTGTTTGAGAAGTAGGAGAGGCCAGTTTTCTGGCTTTCTTTTGATCAGTGGGAAGGGACACTTACCTAAAGGTGTGAGTTGAAGGTGGGATGGGGACTACAAGGCCAAACAGAACCTCTCTGGACACTGGAGTTTGATTAGGTTTGCCTGACTGGGAGTGGGCACTGAAAAAAAATGCTAATTGGGATTGGGAGCAATTTTGGCATACTTTGTTTCTATGAGAAATTTGGAAGGACCATTGGAGAAGCAGTGACTAGTAGCCTTCATTTCCTCAGGGCCATGTTCTTTTTGGTTACTCTGAATGCCCCTCTTACTCAAGAGAAAGAGCAAGATGGGAAATTCAAAGGTGATTTGGGGACTCACCCAGTAGCTTGTCCAGCAGATGCAGGCCCAGATGGAGCTTGTGAGGAAGGGCCTAGGCTCTTACTGGATTGGCAGGCAGTTCCTAACTCAGGCATCTAAGTCATAGTGCTTAGGCCTGGTTGCTCTAAAAAGGTCATTTTATTGGGGAAGGGGAGAGAACAGGTTGGGGCAGTTGCTGATGTAGAGTCCAGGACAAACGGAGAAAAAAGGCAGTATGCCAGCTTAGCCCTCTTCTCTAGGGCATTGGTGTTTTGTTCTCCTGTTCCTGGCCTGGCTCAGAATTTTAAAGAAGCGTCGGAATTAGCTGGGCTATGAGTAGGTCCCAGCCACTTCAAAGACGCTGAAATGCACCAAAAGATTGGAAGTTCCACCAAGAAGTCGGGCAGTTGGTAGAGGTATGTGTGTTTGCGTGTGCGTGTGCATTTGTGTAGGGTAATGGGGGTGGGTGCTGGGATCAGGATGGGGAGGGATTCTTGGGTTAGCACAATAAATTATAGGGTCACTTAGAGGTCGAGTTGTATTCTCAGCTCTGAAAAATATATATATAATATATACATATATATGTCTCTATATATAATCTATACTGCAGCACAGTGGCAAAACATTGAGTTAAAAAATTCAGCAAGAACGCAGACAAACACTCCATGGAAGCAAGCAGGCTAGGATCAAGGCAGTAGGAAGAGAGCCTATATGGTTGCCATAGGGATGAATTCCAGCCAATGGGCCCACACAGCCATTAGAGCACCACCTGTACATGTGCAAAGACATACATACACACATGGAAAAGACAAACAAAAAATTTGCGTAGAGCAGTCACCACATTTAGAAGGAAAGATTTCACATGATCATTGTAATAGGCAAATGGACAAGCTCCCAGGACCTCGCTGTCATCTTAATGAACCAACTAGAACAGACTTCCTGAAGTTGCAATAGGGAGGACTGGGGGAAAAACACAACCAAGCCTGGTTACCCTGATCCCTCTCCTCATCTCCCTGAGCATATTTCTTTCATTTATTCCCAGCATCAATAGTTTCTCTGCTAGTCAGAGAAAACCATTCCCAAAACTCCCTGAAGAGGTGAACTACCTTGAATCCTTTGTAGATCCCAGGCCATTCATAAAGAACTTATCCCAATTAAATACTGTAGTTGCTCAATGTGCAAAAAGAGAACTGAATAAGACAACTCGGAATAGGAATCTTTGGCCAATGAAATGATGTAAACCTCTAAGGAGACCTGATTGAGTCCAGGAAAAGTGTCTTAGTATAAAGAATTGGAGGATCTTTCTTGGTGGTGCTCATGTTTGTTCTGAAATAATTTAGTCTCGCCTGTATTGAGGTTTTGAGAGCTTTTTAGTAAAATTCTAAACGTTGTGAGTTTTCCTTCCAGCTTTCAAAGGTCGAGATCTTGACGATGTTGGGGGGTCATCTGTTTTTGCTTCATCTACACGGTTTCTGCGATGCCACAAATTTCCTTCAGAAAAAAACACACAAATACAGAAATAATGAGGTTAGCACATTGCCAGATATGCAAATGTATGGATGGCAAAGAGAGCAAACAAAGAAGAGAGACTGGTTTGTTTCTATTGTACCCTCCATCTCTGAACCATCAAACACACACACATACACACAAAAACAACACACAAAACAAACAAACAAACACCATGAAAAAAAACAAAACAAAACAAAACAACAACAAAACCCCACAAAAACCCATCTGACACTATGTAAGCCAAACACAAGTGGTGGGATGAGTTCTCAGAACATGAAAATCCATGAACTTCAGACTCTTAAATACCATCATCTCCCAATAGGCAGATTCTTAGGAAATCAAACACCTTAGACCAAACTTTAGAAAACACAGCTTGGTCCAGGAGATTCTCTATTGGCATTTGTGAAAACTCCGATTTCCTAAAAATGAAACAAACTGATACCTCCATCTCTTTTCCTCTATGTCCACTATTGCTTTATCTCTCAAGCTTCTAGATTGTCTAGGCCAAAAATTTAGGCAAGAACATTGACATCAGAATTAGCATAACTGACAACTTTAATAAGAGGACCTTCTTTTGAGCCACATTGCCATATCAATATTGTATAAGTTCAATTTTGAAGTTCAATTTTGAAGTTCAATTATTTGAATCAAAATTCAAATAATGCAACATAGAAGTGTTGTATTTACAGGAACTTACTATAACAAATAGTGAATAAAAATATTTAGATATGTCTTGAAACCTGTTTCTGACTCTGTGGATGTCTAGCACTGATACCCCCGACTCATTTCAAATAATACTGTTTTTTGGAACAGGATTAAAATCTTATAGTCGACTAGGAGAGAAATCTAAGTATGGTTATTTTCCCATACTTATCAACTCAGAACTGGAACAGAGCAAGCAGAAAAGTCACTGCCTCTTACCATTTTTCTCATCAGCTGTCTACATCACAGAGATCACACTGCAAGGTTCCTTCTCAGGTTCTTCCCCTGCCAGTGTCCATATCACTTTCTAACTCATACCTTTCCCAATAGATCGCCTAGTGTTGCCTAAGGTTGGCTCTCAGGCAGCCTCCTCCATTACCACCATAACTATGAACATTTCTAATTGGAGCTGTGACTGCTGTGGAGGTCTTTGTGGCCCTTATCCTTGTGGGGGAGACTTACCAAGAAAACCATGAACTCGTTGGCCTGATTTAGGCTTGTCTTCCTCTCCCAGCTTCTTCTTTCTTAATATGGGGAACTTAACTTTCAACCCGAGGTTTTTACTGTCAGTGTCTGAAGATTTTTCCTGGGAAACCACAGAAAAATATTAGTTGCCTAACGTTCAGAAATAATTCCTGGAGGCCTGGCAAGATGATGCACAAGGATGGTGGCAGAAAGCAGGCAGATCTGCTATCTATCCAGGTGTGGGGGACACCTCTAGTCCTATTCCCTAGGAAGGCAACTTTTCTTTATTAAGATCCTATTCTCTGCCAGGTGCTTTGCTAGATACTTTAATAAATGCTCCCATATAAGCCCCTAAAACAACCCCATAAAGTATCTACTATTATCCTTATAGAAATGAGGAAGCAGAGGCTCAAAGAGGTAAAGTATGTCACATGAAGTCATGCATCTAACAATTAGTAGGATGAGATTGCTAGGGCCACTACTGGCACTTGTGGCATCTCTGCATGAATTTGAAAAAACTCACTCCTTCCATTAGCCATATGGTTTGGTAAGCCCCAACTCATTTCCTTGGGTAAATACTTTGCTATAAAGAAGAACCTGCCTCATAGGCCACCTACTTCCATGTCTGGAATGCAAAGAAGGTACTCTACACGAGCTGTTAATTATGAGTGTGGGTTATTTGCTGTATAGACTATTCAGTCTCCTTAATTCCAGCGTAGCTTCCCAGTTCTTTCACTCCTGCTAACCTGTGTTTGTTTTTACTACTGGTCTCAGTAAAACATATCCCGAGGTTAACCTTGTTGCCAGAAAGTCCAGCCAAACACAATCCAAGAAACTTGGGGATTTTTTTCTCTTCAATATTATGTATGCCTCTGATCCCTTACATTATCGATAAAAGAAGAGTATATCCCTGACCTCATCCTCTTCCTGCTCTGGCTTCTACTTACCCTTTCTCCTCTAAGTTATGTACAGGGCCTTCAGAATTGTCTTTGAGAAGTAACCTAACGGAAGGGCACAAGACCTTTCCTCTCAGCCAAAACCTTGGAAAGCCCAATGAATAACTGACTGTCATCCTGCTTTTTTCACCAAAATGGATCTGAATCTTCTGTGGTCTTAAGGTGAGCAAGACTAGTGTCACATGAATGAGCAACATCTTCCTGGCTTTTTTTTTTAAACCACTCTGCCCTTTTTTGGAGCTTTACTGCTTCATCTTTATGGTAATATTGAAATCCAGAAAAGAGATTATGCCCTAGGGCAGTGGTCGGCAAACTCATTAGTCAACAGAGCCAAATATCAACAGTACAACGAATGAAATTCTTTTGAGAGCCAAATTTTAAAAACTTTTTCTAACACCACTTCTTCAAAATAGACTTGCCCAGGCCATGGTATTTTGTGGAAGAGTCACACTCAAGGGGCCAAAGAGCACATGTGGTTCTCAAGCCACAGTTTGCCGACCATGGCCTTAGGCCACACCAACTCACATACTGAGACCTTAGACTAGGGTAGGGAACCTATTTTCTGCTAAGGGCCATTTGGATATTTATGACATCCTTCACAGGCCATACAAAATTGTCAGATTAAAAATTGACCTGCTATATTTGGTCAAACATTTAATTAACTATCCCTAATGTCTTGGCAGGACCAGACCAAATGATTTCTCGGGCCTTATACGGCCCATAGGCCAGACATTCCCCACCCCTGCTTTAGATCATGGACAATCTTCCTCATTTCTCTCAGTATCCAGTCCAGTTGCTTAGTTTGGAAGCTTGGTAAGATATAGCTGCACTGAGTAATAAGAGAAGTAAGATACTCCAAGAGTTTGCTTCCTTTTCTGCATAACAACATGTTTTCCCCTCCCAAAGCAGCAAAATCATCAGCAAAGGCATATGAGAAAGTTATTAAATCCTTTAAGACCTAAAATTGTATGTGGCTTTTTCTCTTAAACAATAATCTGATTGCTGCACAAGTCCAAAAATGCATGCTCACAACATACATATAATTGGTGTATGATGCCAGAAACAGGTATAATGAGTAGGGGAAGCAGGTATTCCTACCGTTTGAAATAAGCCATTCTATGGTGCAGAAATTTAAAGCAAAACTATATCAGACCATAAAGAGAATAATTTACCTAATAATAGGTGAGCATTTGGGGGTCATTTGATTTATTAAATGGGACTATTTTTCAATATCAGGAAAGTACTCAAAGTTGTAAAAAAAAAATGACAGTGTCCCTGCAATTATATTGTAGCCACTAGTGGCATGCTTGATTTACTTTTAAGCCACTCATCTACTGGGGAAAGCACTGGAAAGCCTACTATTCTTCCAGATCGGGAGAAACAGGTGATAATTGGAAGAGTTAACTACTAGTAAGATCTGGGAACCATCCATTTAGAAGAGAGGTTGGCTGTAAACTACTGGTATGGTCAAAATTGTATGTATCAGATGAAATTCAGTCCTGGCAGCACATACTCAGCAGGAAAGGGGAATTGTGGCCAGGAGAACAGCACAGAAAAAAAAGCAAACTTGCTTATTCTTCCCCAATCATCTCCTTCCACAGAATAGTTCATTCTGGTTACTTTTCCAAGGCCATATGATTTTTCAATGTGTTTTATGTCTTGTCCTGTACACTTATGATGAGGGGATGGAAAGATGAGGCTCATTAAGCTAAAGCCAAACTCTACTATTAGATTCCCTCTGCTGTATCAGTCATTGTCTTGACCCATACTGGAATGTAGAGCACCAAGGAATAATTCTTCTTCCCATTTATTTCCCAATCCTCAGGTCACATACCTCTGGAAAAAGAACTGAATTCATCCAGTTGATCTCAGATAGCTTTTCAAACTCCTCATTCATGGCATCCAGGGTGATTTGCAGTGTGGCCTCAGCCTCAGCATTTCTCAACTGGTGAAGACAGGAAAAAAAAAAGTGAGTGTTCAAAGCCTACAACCCTGTATCATAGACTCTTGCCTTTTCTGCCACTCCTATTCTTTGCTAGTGACCATGAGACAACAGGGAGCCAACTTTCATCTTTTTCGGCTGTGGAGTAATGGAAAAGTGTAGTGAGCTCTTTTTTCTCAATAGGGAGACCCTGAAAAATCATGGAGCTCTCCTTAGGGCTGGAGATGTTCATTTTGGCAAGTAGAAAGGTCCTTTAACCAGGATCAAACAGTTTAGGGTCTAGGACAAAGGTCTCTATAAATAGCAGCTACCAACTTTTGAGCACATACTATATGCCAGGAACTGTGCATTCATAATTTCATTTAATCTTTTCAATAGTTTGAAAAGTATTATACTACTGTTCTAATTTTCGAAGTGAGAAAACAGATTCAAAGTTTGGTGTTCAAAAACCACATGGCTAGCTTCCAAAATGACAGCAGAGTAAGTAGAGGCTACACTGACACTTTCCCAGGACCAAACTGGAAATACAACTAAAATACAGAAAAGAAAAACATCCTGAAAAATAAACTGAAGACTAGCTGGAGAGAACTCTGATAACCAAGGATGGAAAGTGAAGATTGCATAGAGAGTGGTAGGAAGGGCAAAAGTGCAAAAGGGCTGGCCAGGCTCCCACAAACAGCAGCTGAAGTTCCAGAGGGATATCATAGCTGTGTGTGTGTGTGTGTGTGTGTGTGTGTGTGTGTGTGTGTGTGTGTGTTTCCCACTGAAAATTTTGGGGTTTAAACCCTAAGCTGGGCTCCCCAACCCAGAGCACCAAAACAGAGAAAGGTGCCCCCATGACATCTTGATGTGAAAAGCAGTAGGGTTGATGTCTGCCAGGGAGAGATAGCTGGCAATTCAGGCACCCTCTTAAAAGGGTTAGAGGGGCGGGCTAAAAGAGGTCAATGGGGGAAGAAAAGGGACATGTGTAATACTTTCAACAATAAAGATTAAAAAAGAAAAGCAAAAAAAGAATATGGCTAGACTTATCCAGATTAGTTTAACACTATAGCCTATCTTCTATACAACACAGTCTCATAAAGGATATGTGGGGTGGCTGAATGTTAGGAGGAATTTTACTACATAGTTACTATAATTTAAAGGCTGCTTTGTGAAGTAAGGAAAGACCTAAAGAGAGATTGCCTCAATTTTCCCTCCTGGCAAAGAGGGCCTGCCTCTTCAGGCTGTGCTTTAGCCCCTATATATTCACTCTTAGTAAGAAATGAGTTCCAGAATGCTTGTTCCACAGGTTAAGGAAACACAGCTTCAATATTACCTAGCAACTCCCAGCACCCACAGGGCTCTTTTGGGACAGTCTCCAACTCAGATAAACCAAGTTCTAGACCAGCAACATAGGTGAGATGGTTCATATTCCAGTAAATAGTGAAGTGGGAGTATAGATACATATTGATATTTTCAACCTGGACATGATTTCCAGCTTACCTAACTTGGCCTCATCTCTCCCCCCTGACATATCCTCAACTTTCAACCTGGCCCTTATGTGGCTTCTTGTAGTGGCCACTTGATACACTAGCCATAATGGAACCTTGCCAACTGTCACAAATAAGTGGCAGGTGGAATGAGTGAGGGATGAGGCTGGAGGTTATCCTCACTCAGAATGTGATATGAGAAAGATAAATATCTTTTGATTTTGTTTTACAGCTAATGATTTAGGACAATACAGAGTAGCCCAGATGCATTGGACATTTGTGTACACATGACAGTGGGATGGGAGAGAATGGGTGTCAGATAGAAATTGCCATCACTTCAAGGTAAAGAGGGAAGGGGCAGGGAGTCCTTACAGATATACCTACCAACAACGCTTTGGTAGTCAAACCCAAAGGTATAGAAAAGAAAGGAATTTTAGGCCTTGGAAAATGAATTCTAATCATAATAGTAAAGTAATAAAATGGCTTCCTAATGACTTCATATTTGGCATCTGGAGACTCAGGCTCTGAGAAATAGTAGGTGTGTGGGCCTGAGTCTTGTACTCTATTTTCCTGTCCTTCTGGCTCCAGTGGAAAACTTGTCTAGGACTCCTCTCTGAGGTAGATGTGCAAACTGACTTAGAGGACTTAGTGCTTATTTCTTGGTTCCTGTCCCAAAACAAATGAGGTTGCCAAATAAGGAAAGTTGGAGTTCCTAGGTGGTATTTACTTTATAATAAATCTATATCCAGCTGCCAAGAGTGAGCTCTGTAGTATCCTCCTTCAAAGGGAGAAATAACAACACCCAAATGAAATAAGTATTATTATTAATCCTTGCCCGAAGACATTTTCCCATTAATTTTTAGAGAGAGTGGAAGAAAGAGGGAAAGACAGAGAGAAACATTGATGTGAGAGGAACACACTGATTTATTGCCTCCTGCATGAACCCTGACCAGGGTCCAGATTGGGGAGGAGCCTATAACCAAGGTATGTGCCCTTGACCAGAATAGAATCTGGGACCCTTTGATCCACAGGCCAATGCTCTGTTCACTGAGCCAAACCAGCTAGGGCTAAATGAAATAAGTCTTATCTCTATGATCCTTCAATGAAACAGCCTTTCTGGAGATACTTGATCATTCTTAGTTAACTTCTGCCTGACCCCTGGTCTCATTTGGATGTGTGTATGTGTGTGGGGGTCCTTATCAGGCCTTATGTTAAATATGCTGTGTGCTCAATTTGGGTTGTTGGCTAGCAGGAACCAATATTCATGCCATGAGCCTTAAGAAAATTTGAATGGCAATGAAAGTCCAAGTTCCCATATTTCCTGCTACCCAAACTGGCAAGGCCATTGAATTCTGCTAATGTATATAGAAGGTATTTCTGTTGCTATTGTCTAAGGCTGAAAGACTCTAGCTTGGGGTTCAGATTCTGGGTCAACCTGACCTGATTGCCATAGGGACTCCACTGCCTGTGCAGTATGCCAATTAGGTGTGCAAATGGAAAAGGGGAAGTGGATGCACATCTTGGAATATCAACTTAGAAGCCCCTCTTCAAATAAACCATAATTAATGATAAGCAAGAACAGCACCTGCCACATTGCCCTAACAGCCAACCCCAAAGTGGGGTAATTATGATCAGTTCACTGATCAGAGCACACTCACCATGTGTGCCTATGCGCTTTGCCTTCTGTGAAACATGCAACAATTTTTGTAGCCTTAGTCCATTTTCCCTAAGGCTAATAAAATTTACTATTTATCAAACTGATGTTATACAATAATTGGCTTAATCCTCACAACAACCTGGAAAGGTAGAGATTACCATTTCTATTTTGTAGGTAGGGAAACTGAGATCCAGAGAGATGAAATTATTTCACACAGCTAGTTTTATGGATTCAATTGTTTCCTCCCCCCAATCCCCCCCCCCCAAAAAAAAAGCCCCAACAAAACAAAACAAAGAGTTACATTGAAATTCTAACTCCAGTATCTCAGAATGTGACCTTGTTTAGAAATACGGTAATTGTGATGTAATTCATTTTTTAAGATGAAGTCATACTGCAATAGGATAAACCCCTGATCCAGTATGACTGCTATCCTTATAAGAAGATGGCCATTTGAGGACAGAAAGATACAGGGAGAACACTGCATGAAGATGGAGGATTGGAATAATGCATCTATAAGACAAGGAACAACAAAGATTGCTAGCAAGTCACTAGAAAATAGGAAGAGGCAAGGAAGGATTTCAGTACAGGTTTCAGAGGGAATATGGCCCTGTTGACACCTTGATTTCAGGCTTCTAGCCTACAGAACTGTGAGACACTAAGTTTCTCTTGTTTTATGTCACCCAGAGTTTAGTACTTTGTTTCAGCAACCTTAGGAAACTAATATAGTTAGTAAGGAGCAGATTTGATATTTGAACCTAGAGTCTCCCAACTTTTCCCACTATTCCATACTGTCTTCATGGTGAGAGAGGTATGTGGACACCTGGGAGATATAGACTGCTTGAAGAGCTCACCTTTTCCTACTGAATCTGTTTTAGGTATGATGGGAATAACCTACTTTTTATTGGCCTAGATCCAGGAGACATTTGCCAAAGGATAGGGGAAGACTTTTCTTCAAGGATATGGCAGTTCAGTGGATTAGCATAACCTATGAAGTGACACAGTTAATGACAACCCTGGGTGAGAGTATAACACAGCAGGGACTGCCAGCTAAGCACCTGGCTAAAATGCTCCTCCAAGTATAGATCATGATCATCTTCAGATGGGATACTTTGCCCTCCCTTGTTCCAACCCCCTCCACTCACCAAGTTTTTTTCCAGGAAAGCTTTGGTGTCATTGTAGAGCCCTTTAAGATTGAATGTAACATCGACTGCATCATTTCTACTTAGAGGAACCTGAGAGGAGAAAAATGGAAAAGAAGGTAAGGGAAAGGACAAAGACAGAGGACTTGTTGGTTAGTAAGTATGCAGCAACTGACTTCTCTTGGGAAGGGAGGAACAAGCTAGTGGAATGTGGCTGTAGGTAAAAAAGTAATATTCAAAATATAATACAGCTAGTACAGTATGGGTGCTGGAACCAAATTAGAACTGATGCCAGCTGTCAACTATTGTAGTTGTATTGGCATATCATATGAAGTGGGACAGCACAATTTAGCATTTGACATCATTGATTGAGTGCTATGGACATAGGGAAATAGGAAATATGAAAACCAAAGAGTAACCTTGAGGCTACTTGCTGCCACTGGAATAAAACTACCAGTACCTTTCCCATGGTAGGTGAAGGTAGGCCCAACCTTCTCTCTTCTTGAAACTCAAGGCCTCCTCTAACTAGGAACTGGCCCCAAATATATAGGTAACCAACATTTTAGGAAGCTCTGACTCTATATGTGGCCCTTTGGTATCATTTGCCTAGCACTAAAACGACTTTTTAAAAGTATCACATAAGCCAGCGGGTGTGGCTTAGTCATTATGTGTTGATCTATGAACCAGGAGGTCACAGTTCAATTCCCAGTCAGGGCACATGCCTGGGTTGCAAGCTCGATCCCCAGTGTGAGGCATGCAGGAGACAGCCAATCAATGATTCTCATCATTGATATTTTTACTTCTCTCTCCCTCTCCCTTCTTTTTTGAAATCAATAAAAAATATTTAAAAAATAAAAGCTTCCCATAAATCTTCTGGTAATGGGTAAAGTCATGGGATGGCACATTTAACATAAAACATTAAAGCATTCTTATCTGGATATTTCCCTTTAAGAGGGAAACCAAGGCAGCCTGGGGCTCAGGTTTCAATGACAGGTGTTGCCTTAACAGGTTACCTGGAATTAAGAAGGGCCAAGGCCAAGTTTCTCTCCATTTAATTGCCCCTTTCCCTCTAAGGTCAGTGTGGTAGGTGGCTATCAGAGAAGAGGGCTAGGTCTCAGATGATGAAATCTACTATAGGATTCCCCGAGTAGCCACTCTGGACTTGTAACAGTCAAGGAATACCTGCCTTCCCTTCCACTCTATCCATCAATTTCCTGACATATCATTTGCCCAATTTCTCCATGCTGCCTAGGAAGCATCCGCTTCCTTTCTTTTCATCCCCTTTTCTATTTGGTTTGCCCTTTGCCCCCGTACCTCAATGGCAGCACAGGAAGCTGCACCTGCCTCATTGCTGCTGTCTTGGCCATAAAAAATGTCTTCCAGGATTTTGGCACTGGCATTCACCGAATCCATGAGAACAGATACATGCTGGTGGATCTTGCTCAGGTTAGTAAGTCTGTAATAAAACAAGGACAGATAGATAAGTGTGTAGTTCTGAAGGACTTCTGTCCTGGGGTGCTGGTGATGGCTTGGCTAAGAATAGAAAGCCCTGGGTACCCAAATCGACACTTCCTATTATTTCTATTTTTCTTTAGGTAGCTATCTATGCCAAAGAAACTGTCTCTACTCTAGGTATTCATCTTTGTCTATCTTGTCTCAGTTGTAGGTGCTTCAGGACAGTATAGTATAGGAGGCCATAGTATAGGAGGGCAGATGACTCAAGAAACTTCAAGGCCCTGCGGATATTTAAGGGAAAGGATGAACATTCTTATTCTTATTTGGGTCTGGGAAAACAGGAGGAAATAAAAGTTCATCTCTGACCAAAACCGGTTTGGCTCAGTGGATAGAGCGTCGGCCTGCGGACTGAAGGGTCCCAGGTTCGATTCTGGTCAAGGGCATATATCTTGGTTGCGGGCACATCCCCAGTGGGGGGTGTGCGGGAAGCAGCTGATCGATGTTTCTCTCTCATTGATGTTTCTGGCTTTCTGTCTCTCTGCCTTCCTTACTGTGAAAAATCAATAAAATATATTTTTAAAAAAAGTTCATCCCTGGGTCTAATGGCAGAGGTCCAAGTTGGCTTATTGCTGAGTACAAAGACCATTTCCTATGTGGATTGTCAGGGTTTCTGTCAAACTTCAGAGCTCTGGGTAAAACTTCTGAGAACAAGCTCCCCAGTAGCCAATAGATACAAATCAGCTTTTTCCTATATCCCTTTTTAGGATTTTCAGCCCTGTGTCTAGGCTAGTTTCACTTACCCGCTGATGAGGTTTTCAGCAAGCCGAGCTAAGTGCTGCATCTGGGCATACTCCTCATCAGAGAGGCTATCTTGAGATTCCTGGGAGTCCAATTGGGGTTGAGTGGCAGCTTGAATTTCAGTATGCTTGCTCTCCCACATTTTCATTGAGTTCTCAAAGTCCTGGAGATGAAGACAGTGGCAGATCCTAATGATTTCTGTAGCTAAGAGGGCATGTGATAGATCTGTATGTGAGTCTGAAATTTGTGGGTATCATGCAGAAAGGGAAAAGAGTGCCTTCACCCCCTATATACCCAATTACACACCTATACAAATATCCATCATTTTATTCAATGTCTCTTTTGTACTAGGCACTTTTAGTTTTTGCTGTTGTTACTATCGTGAATCTTGGGACAATACATTTCAATCAGATAGACGTCTGCCTTCCAGATACTCTTAAATGGTTGCACTATTATCAGTAAGATAGTGGAGCATCTTTCATGTTCCCTGCTTTGCCAAATCTAAGTAATATGTTGTGATAGACTTTAGAACCAGAGATATCTGATTTAATTTTGAATCATCCTTCTATCATTTACTGGTTGTATGACCTTTAGCAACTTATTTAACCTCTTTGGTCCTCATTTTCTTCACCTGTAAAATGGGAATAAGTGTATCTATGTTATCAAATTGTTGGGAGGACCTATTTGAGATAATATATTTAAACTGTCCACCACAATGTAGGCAGTTTATAAATTAGACTTGCCCTTTCCTCTCTTTTGCTGCTTCTATGGACTGTCAGAATGGAAGAAAGCATCCAAGCACTGAACATCTGATCATTAATGACTCCTCTCTAGATTTAGATGGCTTAGCAGAAGTGGGTGACATTTATGAATGCAGCACTTTAGTCAATAAAGAATCTCTTGTTGAAAGAACAGATTTCTCTTGAACTACCCAGTCTTAGCTCTATGTCCAGTGGAGAGAGGACAGCTTTGTCCAAAGCCATAGGAGGGAAGCTCCTTGTCTCACTCTCTTAGAGGTTTGAAAATGTCAGTATATATCAGAATGTCTTGGGGAGGGAGTTGTTTAAAAACGCAAGTTCCCAGAAACTACCCATCCCCATTCTGATTCGTTAGCTCTGGTGTGTGGCCCAGGGTGCACATTTCTAGCAAGTAACCAAAGTGACTTATTATAAAAGTAGCAAACACGCATCCCTTTGAGGAATTCTGCTTGACTGGAAGTATTCAGTACTCAGCAAGAGTTGTATATGAGACAATGCAGGAGCCCAAGACAAGCCTTTCCTTTCTTACCCGATCTCTTGTCAGCATCTGGGCAGTGTTCTTGTATCTAATCTTGATAAGGCCTGGCTTCTGAACCCAGGCCTCCCCATCCACCTGCACTGGGATACCTTCTTCACCATCAATGGTTATCATCACCTCACGACACTGCCAGAGAAGAAAAGGGAGAATAGGGCAGAAAAAATGAGGCAACTACTGTAGACCAATCTGATAATACCACAGTCATGGCCATAATGTGTATCTTCAGCAGGACTAGCAAGGATGTAAATCAGATTATTTCATGGATGAAATACCTGCTATCTATGGGCTTTTTGCTCCTTCAGTCCCTACCACCTTTGTCTCCAACCTTAGCCAGTACCTTGCTGTCCACCAGATAACCTCAACACTCTACCCTGACAGTTATTCCCAATTAATTTCTGGGACAACTCCATATCCTGGATTGTAGCTACAGAGTTCAGTCCCTTTCTTGTACCAACCCAACCCCTGCCTACCTGGGCAATGCGATGATGATGCAGATTGATGATACGGGACATCGCCATCTGTACAGAACCAAAGATTGCCACTACCTCCAGCTTTCCATCATCTATTGCAGGTACCTCATATTCCTGGGGAGGAAGAATTGTGTCACATATCCACTTGATAAACCATACATTGTCTATCACAGAACAAGTATGCTTTGAAGGCTCCTAGTGAGAATTTTTCTAGCTCATGAAGAGTGGAGTAACTATATATTAAAAGGGGAAAGATGAGGTCAAGAGCCCACCTGGGAAGAGGGCACCGAGATGATAATTCTTAGTTCCTTTTGAGATCACTGCTCTGCGCTGGTTCCCTCTTTGTCTAATCTAGCATCATAAATGCCCAAGGCCAATCTCATTGGCCTCATGACTTTCTTGAGTGAGCTTAGAGAAAATGGTCATTTCCAGTTTCTCAGGAGATTTTATTGACAGACCTCTCTGGAGAAAAGAGCATGGCTTAGGTAACCTTATTAGGATCTGTCATGCCTAAGGAATGAAAAATTCAAAGTCCAGGTGACACCTAAGAATTGATCTGATCCTGGGGTCTTTGGTTGATTCTTTTTTTATTTTTATTTTTTATTCTGAAATGCTAATTAAAATACTGCTTATATAGCTGCTACCAATAAAGGTTCCCAGCTGACTTCTTCTTCCCGCATTGTCCACTTTCTTTCTACCCCAGTGAGTCCAACTCTCCTTTCTGAGATATCTTAGAGGGGCCAGACATTTCTTCCTCCTTGTCCCTTATTTTATACTTACACTAGTTGCTGTGCTGCTTCCCCAGAAGTTGATGCCTCCAGCATAGCTGGGAATGTTGAGCACTACAATGCCTTGCAGGTTTGGCAAAGAGATAGCTTTTCCGTCACACTGAAAGATAGAAATGTGAAGGAACATTATAGAGATAGGGGAAGAGCTCTGCTCTTCATGCTCTCATTTTCCCAACCATAAAATGGAAATCTATCTTCTGCCTTCCTCCCATGAGCTCTGAGGATCAGAGGTAAAGCTCAGAGAGAGGTAAGAATATAGGGGAAAGTTGATTCCCAAAGTCATGAGATTTCTTTCTTTCTTTTCTATGTTCAGGAAAGACTACCCTCTTTTCTACTAACCTCCAGGTGCACTCGTTCTTCGAGGTTCCTGTAAGAGCGCTGCAAAAGTTCTTTGCTTCCCAAAAGACCATACCACATCTTGTTCTTAAGGCGGCTACTATAGGGAGATAAAGTAGAGAAAGGTAGCCACAGGGTGAATGATATAAAGGTAAATGGATGAGGAAAAGCAAGATGGGACACCATTTTATACCTCAAGTGCCTTCATATAGAGAGGAGTCATATTGAATGGTAACTAAACACAAGAGGATATGCTAGGATGGTATAACTGGTATCTCCACTCAAACATCTGCTGAAATGGGTTCCTGGCCCTGTTGAATGCTTTAGCATCTTATTGGTACATATGTTTACCATTTTCCTTGCTTCTGATATTGGTTCAGACTTGGAAGAGACAACCAATATTCAGCAAGTAATGCTTATAAAAAGCTTTGATTATAGCTGGCTGTAGACACTAGCTACCTTGTCAAGTATCATTCTAGGAACTCAAGATTTCAGCTTCATGGAATCAGTTTCATTTGAAACATATGACTTTTTCTTTGAAGCACTTTTTTTTTCTGGCAAAGTGGAGGGAGTTTTCTGAGATCTGTATATTAATCATCTAATTTTTTAAAACCATTTCTATCTTTTCTTTAAAATATATTTTATTGATTTTTTACAGAGAAGAAGGGAGAGAGATAGTGAGCCAGAAATGTCGATGAGAGAGAATCATCAACCAGCCGCCTCCTGCACACTCCCCACCAGGGATGTGTCCGCAACCAATGTACATGCCCTTGACCGGAATCGAACCTGGGACCTTTCAGTCCGCACACCGATGCTCTACCACTGAGCCAAACCGGTTTCGGCTTAATCATCTAATTTAGTGCTATATAATTTGTCTTAAGTTTACTATGTAAATTATAGAGGAGGATCCAGTGGAGAGAAGATGGGACAGGCAAATATATCAAGAAACTTGAGGTGAAGATAGAAAGGACAGGATCCTGCTGATTATAGGATCTCTGATCAAAACAAGCAGAGAGCTTTACAATCACTAGAAAGGGTTGGCTAGAGTTTGCTATGAGTTTTTGTTTATCCCTTTATTTGATTTATTTAAAAATATTTATTGGGAGTATTATAGATGTCCTCCTTCCTCAATCCCCCATTGCCTTCCTCCACCTAGTTCCCACCCCACCCCCGGCATTCACTAACTACCCTATTGTCTGTGTCCATAGGTAATGCATATATACATATGTTCTTTGGTTAATCTCTTCCCACTCCCCATCCCTCTGAGATTTGTCACTCTGTTCCATATTTTTATGCCTCTGATTCTATTTTATTAATCGGTTCATTTTGTTCTTTAGATTCTTTGTTCATTTATTTTGATTTTTAGATTTAATTGTTGATAGTTATGTATTTATTGCCATTTTATTGTTCATATATATATATTTAAATATATTTTATTGATTTTGTACAGAGAGGAAGGGAGAGATATAGAGAGTTAGAAACATCGATGAGAGTCATCGATCAGCTGCCTCTTGCACACCCCCTACTGGGGATATGCCCACAACCAAGGTACATGCCCTTGACCGGAATCGAACCCAGGACCCTTCAGTCCCCAAGCCGACGCTCTATCCATTGAGCCAAACCGGTCCCAGCTATTGTTCATATTTTTATCTCTTCTTCTTTTTTCTTCTTCTTATTGTTATTATTATTATTATTTCTAGTGGTCCAGTGCATGAAATTCATGCACGAGGGTGGGCAGTTCCCTCAGCCCAGCCTGCACCCTCTCCAATCGAGGATTGCTGGCTCCTAACTCCTCACCTGCCTGCCTGCCTGATTGCCCCTAACTCCTCTGCCTGCCTGCCCAATTGCCCCTAATCTCTCTGCCTGCCTGCCTGATTGCCCCTATCTGCCCTCCCCTGTTGGCTTGATCTCATCCCCAAAGGCCTTTCCTGCCAGCCTGATCTTGCCCCAACTTCCCTCCCCTGCTGGCCTAGTTGCCCCCAATTGCCCTTCCCTGCTAGCCTGATCTCGCCCCCAGTGGTCCTCCCCTTCCAGCCTGATCTGGCCCCCAACTGCCCTACCTGCCTGGTCTGGTTACCCCAACTGTCCTTCCTGCTGGCCTGATTGTGCCCCCAACTACTCTCCCCTGTAGGCCTGATTGTCCCTAACAGCCTCTGTCTCAGCCCCCGCCACTATGGCTTTGTCCAGAAGGAAGTCAGATGTCCGAAAGATGGCTGGTTGACCCAGTCTAATTAGCATATTACCCTTTTAGTAGTACAGATAGATTATATAAGATAGTATTGCTTACTGTATTTTCCGGCGTATAAGACAACTTTTGAAACGGAAAAAAAGTCAACCGAAAATCGGGGGCAAAAGACCAAAATTGCACAAAAATTACCTGCAGATCTTGACAGCAAAGTAAGTCTTTTCTTTGAAGTGGGGGTAGTCTTATACAGCGAATATAGGCCTAGACCTATGTTTTAACTGTAAAATTAGGGGTCGTCTTATACACCAGAAAATACGGTAATTAGGGAGGGAGCCTTTTTTTGTTTTAGCAAGAGGAGATTCTCTTGGCAGAAAAAACACATAATCCCTATATCTGGACTGATAGCCAGTCATATGCACTATACTGCCAAACTGGTCATTAAAAAGTTGAACCACCTTCTTAAACCTTACACCAAATAGCTGTTACCTTTAAAACCCCTCCTCAGCCCCTACCTTAGGCTCTGCCTTTACAGTTCACCCAGGTTAGGTTTTGATTGGTTGGTTTCTATGCCAGTCAGCATCAAAATCTCTGCCTCCTAGGCAGTCATTAGCTCCTGGCACTTCACCCAAATTTGATTCTGATTAGTTGGTTTCTATGCCAGTCCACATCTCTGGGCCTTTCAATGGGCCTGATCAGAGAGGTGGGGCTGATCAGCAGCCCTAGCAGAGACCTGAGAGAAAGAGAGGAATGGCTGCTAGTCAGGCCTGGAGTGAAAGAGAGAGGAAAGTGCTGATCAGCAGCTGCCACGAAGGTTCTGGATTGACCCTGCTTCTCTGTCCAGGCCTCTCTTCACACTTGATCCATAGCCTCCTTGACAGTCAGTGCTGGGCGAGGGTGCCTGAAGTGGTCACTATCAGTGCTGGGTCTCCTCAGCAACACAGCACTGACTTTGGTCAATCGAGCCTTTGGTTGTTTTGGATGTTATGGACCCTGGGTTTTTATATATGAGGATTACTAGAGGCCCAGTGCATAAAATTCGTGCACTTGTGGGGTTCCTCAGCCTGGCCTGTGTCCTCTCCCAGTCTGGGAGTCCTTGGGGGATGTCCATTAGACAGACATCCTTATCTCCATGGAGGCGGGAGAGGTTCCCATTACTGCCGCTGCACTTGCCAGCCATGAGCCCAACTTCTGTCTGAGTGGTGCTCCCCCTGTGGCAGTGCACTGACAACTAGGGGGCAGCTCCTGTGTTTAGCCTCTATTCCCGGTGTCAGTGTGCATCATAGCTACCAGATGTTCTGCTGTTTGGTCGATTTGCATATTAGCCTTTTATCATATAGAATTACTCAAGAATATCCTTTAATAGTTCATGTAATACTGGTTTGGTGGTAATGAACTTCTTTATCTTTTTCTTGTCTGTGAAGCTCTTTATCTGACCTTCAATTCTTTTTAAATTAAATGTATTGGAGTGATATTGGTTAATAAGATTATATGCAAGTGTACAATTCTATGATACATCATCTGTATATTGCACTGTGTGCCCACCACTCAAAATCAAATCTTTCTTCACCATATATTTGACCCCCTTTACCTTTTAATGCCCTACCCCACCTCTTCTCCCTCCAGTAACTACCATACTATTGTCTGTGTCAATGAGTTTTTGTTTTTAAAGTAAAGCCACAGAAATAAATCACCACAGGCATGAGCTTTGAAATATCAAAAGGCTAGTATAAAATTACTTGTATTCTGTTTTAAATCACAAGTACTTTGGGCACTTTAGTTTCTATATCTATAAAAATGGTTTCATTATACGATATATAAATGCTAAATACCTAGAACAACTAGGACAATTCTGAAAAAGAACAAAGTTGGAGGACTTTCATCTTTCAATATCAAAACTAACTTTAAAGCTACAAGTTAACAAGATAGTGTGGTATTTGTATAGAATAAACACATAGATAAATGGAATAGAAATGATAATCTAAAATCAGTGGGTCCAAGGAAACCAGGTTAGTAACACAAATAACTAGTCAGTTGATACTTTGCAACCTTGTTAATAAAAAAACAGACCCAAAGCCACTACTAGGATCTGGTCAAGTTTTCACAGAACAAAGGTAAGCAATTTGCTGAATCAGGTCAATGAAATCTGTTTAAAATAACAGTAACACAGTTAGTTGTGTCTACACAATAACTTTACATGTCTAGATTAAGAAGGCAGCTAAAGTTCAGGATGCCAAATGCAGAGTCATCACAGACTAAGTTAACATTTGGGGCAAGCAGTACCATTAGGATAATCTTGGGACTAATGTGTTTTATTTCCAAAGGACCTCTTATTTCTGTTGCGTGTCTGAGAGGTAGGGTATATAGCAATATACTATGTATATATGGTTATTGTCTGTCTTCATGTAGGAAGATGAGTTTATTTTCCTTACTTGTATTGTCCTGGATGTTCATCTCTTCTGTTGTTGAACTCCAGAGAAATTTTAGCATCTAGTCCAATTCCAAAATAGTTGTTCATGACGCACTTTTCTTTGAAACGTCTGAAATTAGGCAAAGGGAAGAGGAGAACAGACATTGGTGCACAAAAGAAGTGTCATTATTAATTGGCAGCAGACTTCATATGCATGATAAAAAAAAGCACTGAAGGAAGGCCTCCTCTACATTGGACACAAACCTTAATGTTCTTGGGAAGCACAAGTAGATTTCCTATTGTGTTAACAACTAGCATTGTTAGCTATAAAAGAGGGCACCCACCTAGTTGGGAAGATTCAGTGGTTTTTGGGCTCATAATAAAGAAATAATCTTTGGAAGTCCTCAGATATGAGTGGCCAATATTTTCCCACATAAAATAAAGGGGAATAGAGTCATTGGTTTATTCCCACAATGAACTTTTGAGTATTTCAAATAAAAATGTATGAGAGTAGCCCTGGCTGGTATGGCTCAATTGGTTGTGTCGTCCCTTGCGCCAAGGGGCTGCTGGTTTGATTCCGGGTCAGGATACATACCCAGGTTGTGGAGTTGGTTCCTAGTTGGGGTGCATATGGGAGGCAACCAATCAATGTTTCTCACTCATATTAATTTTTCTCTCTCTACTTTTCCTTTCCTTTCTCTCTAAAATAAATAAAATCATATTTAAAAACAATTTTTAAAAGATATATCTGTACTCTTTTGTGGTGTGTTCACACCAAAGAGCAAAGTGTCCACACATTTGGAGAACAGACTGATAAAAGAGGATATATGTCAGGCAGTTTTTTTTTTATTCTGCATTCTTCTCAGGTGTTGACATCAATACCAGTGGTGTGCTGAAGCCTGTTTTTACCAGTTCATGTCAGCTATCACTTCTCAACTCTACATTTAATGGAATTATATCAGTAGCTTGAAATAGATTATGGTGGGAGGATTTATCTCAGGAAGTAAATCAGGGCTTCCCTCTCCCCAACCCAGAGAGCTGGTTTTAGTATACCATTGATCAAAACTCATTAGAGAAGTCCATGAACTTAAGCCAATGGTGAAGGAAAAGGGAGTGGGAGCTAGAGATAGGAATAAATGGAAAGCTGCAAAAAAAAACTTCAATAATTGCTACTGTTTTCATTTGGGAAACTGAAAATGGGTACAGTGTAGCCATTTAAAATTATAAATAATTTTAAAAATTAATTACTTAACTGACCCTACATTTCTCACATGAGATTCGCTTCCCTCAACCACAGTCCAGAAATTGAGGTCTTTCTAACTGATGTTCAACTGATCTTTTTAATGTAACTCAAAATGAGTGAATAGGACAGAACTTGGCTGCTGGGAATATTCTAAACTGGTAGGGTTAGTGAGACAAACATCTTTAGATTTATTGTCTACTCCCTTAAATGCCCATTTATTCTTTTAGTCCCTTCAGTCGTTTACTGTTAAAGGCAGCAGTGGGAAAACAAGTCATTTGAAAGAACAACAGCTAACATTTATTGTTTATAATATTAATAACAATAATAAATATTAACACATATAGCATTTAACTATGGGTGCCAAGCACTGCTCAATGAAAGTGCTTTGCATATATAAACTCAATAAATATGACAAATCTATGTGACAGGTTCTACAATTACCTCCATTTTATATGTAAGCAAACTGAGGCTCATATAGGTTGCATAAGGTTGGACAACTAGTAGAGTACAGTAAAGATTTGAGTCTGGGCATTCTTAGACTATGCTCTTAATAAGAGAAAAGAAAGCCACAAAAAGGTCATAAGGCTAAATACTTACATAGTTTCAGGTGTAAAATGTAAGTGCTCCAAATTAAGGTTATCTAGGTCTTCACTTTCGAGAGAAGGTATAGCAGACAAGATGCCACAACGAGAACCTAGACACAAATGACATCACCTTGGTGTCAGAGGCAAACAAGAAATCCCTGTCATCACTTGTGTTTCACACTATTTTGTCTGTGGAACTAGGTCAAGCTCAATGACTTTCTCTGAGATAACATTCAGGGTTTGCTTTCCAAAAAGGGAGATCTTAGATATACAGGCTTCCACTGAGAGGACAGGGAAGCTGAGTTACTTGCTTTCTAGCAGTGAAACAGCTTCAAATCTTGGATTTCATCAGGCCAGCCTTTTCAAAGGACCTAATAGTGTCATTACTTGTGGACATTGGCATGGGGTCTTAATAGTGTGAGTTTTCTAAGAGGAACGGAAATATACTGCAGAATAGGATTATGGCTAAAGGAAAATGCATGAAAACACATCTTTATTTTCTGCCACTAGAAGACAGTGATAAAGGGTAGAATAAGAACAGAAATATCCTTACGGTGTCTTGGGCTTGTCTGGCTAATATCTTCTGAGTCATCTTCCGGGGAAAAAGTTGAAGTAAAGTTCTTAACCGATATTGTTTTTCGGCTTTGTTCATCCAGAACTAGAGAAAAAGTGGGAGGAAAGGAAAGTGAAATAAAAAAGAGTGTGTGTGTGCGCGGAGGATTGGTTACATTTATCAGGCATTTTTCCAGAATTTCCTTTATTTAGTTAATGCCAATGTGTGGTTAGACAACAGAGACTTTCATATGGACCATCACCCCTCCTCCATGATACTTTTTGGTCTCAGGTTTCTTACAGTATAGCCCCCATATCTCTTCATATCCATGCTCGAGCTTTAGCTGTTTTACTGGTCACTCTTTATCTGTCACCCAGTAAATGTGATTGTGAGTAGAAGCTCAGGGCCAGCTGTGGGAAAGGGGTGGGACATCGTGGGAAACTCTCTGCTCTTCTACCTCTATTCTTAGCTCTTTGTTAATTCATTTACTCACATGACTTTTTCTGCAAATGTGAGCCTCTAGGAACATGCCATTCTTACATGTTTCTTACCCATACACAGAATATTTGAGAAGTCTCCTTCATTTCACCAGTGTAGTGTATAGTTCAGGTGCTCAGCCTATGCCAAAACACATAGGTTCAATGTCTATCCTAACGGGGATGGCTTTCCCTATCCCATAGCCACAAACTGCACTTCTAAAATCTGACTTATGTGTTGATGAAGTAGGTTGAGGATTGGTTGTAATCCTTGGAAACTACTACAGAAATAGAGGCAAACTGATGGATTCTTTCACAATGCAGAAGAGATATTTCCTTTCTTTCTAGGAAATCTGGCTGAGGTTCTGTTTAAAGATACTAAGGCAGAAAAAGGTACCATGGCTGAAAGTCAAAGGACTTTTACATGGACATCTGCTCAATTTCAATAGCTCAGGTAGAATACACTTAGTCTTATACCATCTTCTGATCTGCTTTTCAAAGAAGCATTGTAGGAAGAAGTAGGAACCAAAATGTTAAGAAGTTGAAGGAGTTGAGTTTCCATACTGAGTTGAAAGTTTGCAACTTCTCATGAGTTTGGGAAATAGCAAGCAATTTCAGAGCTGCCAGGACCACTCTTAGGGCCCTTGTGCTTAATTGATACTGTGCAAGACATGAAGAGATAAGTACTATTTTCCTTCTAAAATAGTCACAGGCTTGGTGGTTGAATGGAAACAGGAATAGGTAGAAAAATTCATGCCTGGGGGTGAAAGCTGACAGATCTTTGAACAGCTGTAATTTTTTAGAATGAGTGTTAGTTCTAAAAATAAATGAGTAGCAAGAGTTGAGTGCCTGGGAGGTAGGAGGGGCCAAAGTGGCAGCTTATCATAAGGACTGACATTTTTCAAATCAGCAGTCTGAGGACTGATTTTGGATGCTATGTGAATGCAGAATCTAGTCAAGTTTTGGTAGTGGAGTCAAGTAGAAAACCTACAGAGAGGGAGACCAGTAAACCATTCACTGGAACTTTCTTTTTTTCCTACCTCAATCTCCACAACCCTGGGACCCTTACCTTGTTCAACTTGGAATACAATGAGTTTCAAGGATTTCTGGAGATTCTTGGCCTTTGTGGCCAGCTCCAACTTGTACTTGGCTATGTTGTCTATTTGAGGGACGAAGGGCTTTCCATCTGCCTTATTACTCTCTGCACATACTGTTGCACTCTTCTCAATGGCTGCCTCTTCAGCCAGGACATCAATCAGGACACTGAGCTTGTCATATATCAAGTCGCTCTATATAGGGAGGAAAGGAGACAGAACATTATTATAAGGAACCAGTGCTTGAGAGGACAGAATGAGGTGCTGGGGTGATATGGGAAGAGGTGGGAAGGGGTAGTAGCTGGCAAGGAACAATGAGCATAGAAAGTTATCTGTGGGGAGATGAAAATTTGGGAAAATAAATACTTGGGTAGATGTGATGAAATAACCGAAAAGTGTTTGGGGATCAAACAAATATTATCTGTTTCTGAATAGCTGCAGTAACCAGTGCATGTTGCCAAGTTTTTCTCATATCATATCTATACTAATAAAAGGGTGATATGCTAATTAGACCAGATAGATTGGATGTCTTCCAAACGTCCTTCTGGACAAAGCCACGGTGGCACGGGCTGAGGCAGAGGTGGTTAGGGGTGATCAGGCAAGCAGGCAGAGGAGTTAGGGGCAATCAGGCAGGCAGAGATGGTTAGGGGTGATCAGGCAGGCAGGCAGGTGAGCAGTTAAGGAGCCAGCGGTCCTGGATTGTGAGAGGGATGTCCAAATGGATCAGGCCTAAATTGTCAGTTAGACATTCCCCAAGGGGTCCTGAATTGGAGAGGGTGCAGGCCATGCTTAGGGACCCCCTCCCCCTGCACAAATTTCATGCACTGGGCATCTAGTTGGACTATAAAATGATATGGCCAACTTGAGGAAAGGTATATATTTCTGAACTGGTATTTTTTTGAGCATGATCCTATGGATGTGAACATGTTCCTGCATGGGTGCCTGGTGTGTCTGCCTTTGTATGTGTGTATGTTTGGGGAAGTGCTGAGTAATTATGGCTGGAATCCCAGCTATATCACTTAATAGTTTGTGACGAGTAAGGTGACCAGACATCCCGCTTTTGGCGGGACAGTCCCGATTTTTAACAATTTGTCCCGCATCCCATGGTGTTTTAAAAAAGTCCCGATTTTTGGAAAGAATTCATGACAAGCTAGGGAACGGCAGGAGAACAGGAAGAGAATATACAGTTTTCAGCGGCCATGTGGCTATTTAGCCAGGATATGAGTTTTATATTATTTTTGTTAATTTTATAATGTTAAACTTTAATAATAACAAGTAATTTTTGAGAACTGATTATTGAGAACTGCTTATCAAAGTTCGCATTGTTGATCAGTTGTTAGAATTCGACCACCATTGTTTGGACTTAATGAACAATGGCATTTTTTTGGATTGGCAATGAAGAAAACATTTTGTAACTCTCAGACGATACACATCGTACTGCGTGCCAGTAAGCTAGTTAAATAAGCGATGTCATTACAAGTCAACTATTCAAATAATTTAGATAAATAATTTATTTATTTCATAAAAAAATATTTTGTTGCTCCATATAGACCCCCCTTACCCCCGGTCAATGGTATCCCACTTTACCAATGTGAAAATCTGGTCACCTTAGACTTGAGGCAAGTTACCTAACCTCCTTGTGCTTTTGTATTACAAGACAATTGTGAGGGCTTTCCATCTGCCTTGCTATTATCTGCACATACTGTTGCACTCTTCTCAATGGCTGCCTCCTCAGCCAGGACATCAATCAGGATATTAAATTAAAAGTTCTTAACAGTTCCTGGCACAGAGTAAGTACTGTTATAATTGTTATCTAATGTTGCTGTTTTTAAAGTGGCAAATGTGGGTATATTTCTAGTATGTATTTTTGTACATATTTTCAAGGAGGTTCTGGCATACAACTGTGTGCATACATGCTTGGTGTATACTTGTGTCTAGATGTGGGCAGATGCTTGACATATAGTTAGGTACATAAGTACATGATACATATATAAGCATGAATAATGCCACTCCTCATTTGGTAAAAGATGGAATTTGATGAGGTGGACTTTTCTTCATCAGGGAGTTGCTCCTCCCTGCTTTTCTTTTACAATTTCTAGTGAGAAGTACCTGGCTCCACAGAGTGCAAGACAAAAGGAATGGAAACTTACTTTCAAAATCACAGACGCTATTGTTGCATTGTTCTGTTTTATCTGACTCCAGGCCTTTACAATATCAGCCACAAAATCTTCCACTGCTGAGCACAGGAATCTGGAAAGATGAGACAGATAGCACAATGTGACATAGACCATGAGATCTAGAGCCCTTCTTTCTTATAATATCACTAGAGGCCCGGTGCACAAAATTTGTGCCCCCAGGCGGGAGGTGGGGTGGGGGTTGTCCCTCAACCCAGCCTGCACCCTCTCCAATATGGGAACCCTCGAGGAATGTCCGGCTGCCTGTTTAGGCCTGATCCCAGTAGGATCGAGCCTAAATGGACAGTCAGACACCCCTCTCACACTCCAAGACTGCTGGCTCCTAACTGCTCGCCTATCTGCCTTCCTGATTGCCCTTAACTGCTTCTGCTTGCCAGCCTGATCACCTCCTAACTACTCCCCTGCCAGCCTGATTGATGCCTAACTGCTCCCCTGCAGGCCAGGTCCCTCCTAACTGCTCTCCCGTGTAGGCCTGGGTTCCCCCTCCCCCCCAACTGCCCTCCCCTGCAAGCCCGGTTGCTCCCAGCTTCCCTCCTCTGCTGGCCTGGTCAACCCTAACTGCCCTCCTCTGCAGGCTTGATTGTTACCAACTGCCCTCCCCTGCAGATCTGGTCCTTCCCGACTTCCATCCCCTGCTGGCCATCTTGTGGCAGCCATCTTGTGTGTTGGAGTGATGGTCAATTTGCATATTATTTTTTATTAGATAGGATAGAGGCCTGGTGCAAGAGTGGGGGCTGGCTGGTTTGCCCTGAAGGATGTCCTGGATCAGGGTGGGGGTTCCCTTGGGGCACAGGGCAGCCTGGGCGAGGGGCCTGTGGTGGTTTGCAGGCTGGCTATGCCCTCCAGTGACCCAAGCAGAGGCCCTGGTATCTGGGATTTACTTTTCTTCTATAATTGAAACTTTGTGGCCTTGAGTGGAGGCAAGCCTCCTGCTTGTTCCATGGCTGCAGCCATATTTGTTGGGATTTAGTTATCTTCTATAATTGAAACTTTGTAACCTTAAGCAGAGGCCAAGGCAGGCCAGGGCTATGGAAACTTGGCTTTCTCCATCACTAGGGGCAACTCAAGCCTCCTGCTCTCTCTAGCTCTGTGGCTGTTGCCATTTTTGTTGTGATTTATTTATCTTCTATAATTGAAGCTTTGTAGCCTTAAACAGAGACCAAGACAGGCCAGGGCAGGCTGAAAGGTTGGCTTCTTCCATTGCTGGGGAAACCCAAGCCTCCTGCTCTCTCCATGGCCACTACCATCTTGGTTGGGTTAATTTGCAAACTTGCTCCTGATTGACTGGTGGGCATGGCTTGTGGGTGTAGCAGAGGTACAGTCAATTTGCATATTGCTCTTTCATTAGCTAGGACTAGACGCTTGGTGCATGAATTCATGCACAGGTGGAGTCTGGCCAGCTCTCCCCAATCGGGGTCAATTTGGGCTGGTTTGGCTGGGGAAAGGGGCCATGGGAGGTTGTCCAGTCTACCCTGCCCATGATCAGGGCGCGGGGGCTGATTGGGGGCTGGTCTAGCCAGGGGGAGGGGCTGTGGAAGGTTTGCCAGCCAACCCTGCCCCTGATCATATCAGTTGGCCAGCAGCAGTGCACATCATAGCGGCTGGTCATTCCAGTCATTCTGGTTGTTTAAGTCACTTGGCTTTTATATAGTATGTAGATTAGCCTCCTTATTCTTCATCATTCTTCTCTCTGTCTCTCTTTCCAGATATCTCCTCCATCTGCTTTTCCCTCTCTTCCATAATACTTTGTCCCCTCTCTATTAGTTTTCTTTTCCATGCTTCTTCATGTATTTATAGTAAAATATAGAAGTACCTAAGAGAGTTTAATTAGTATTTTATAGTCCTAATTCCAAATTTTCAGAAAGCCCAGAATTCAAGAATTTCAGCCTGGGTCAAATCAGCTATAGTTCAAGAGCCCAGCTAATCTATACATATTAAGAGGTAATATGCTGCCAAAACCGGTTTGGCTCAATGGATAGAGCGTTGGCTTGGGGACTGAAGGGCCCCGGGTTCGATTTCGGTCAAGAGCATGTACCTTGGTTGCGGGTATATCCCCAGTAGGGGGTGTGCAAGAGGCAGCTGATCGATGACTCTCTCTCATCGATGTTTTTAGCTCTCTATCTCTCTCCCTTCCTTTCTGTACAAAATCAATAAAATATATTTAAAAAAGAGATAATATGCTAATTTGTCTGTTACCGTGTCCCAGTCACAACCAGTCTGTGGGTGGGGACAGGGGCAGGGACTTCCACCCCCCAGTGCTAACAGCATGCTGCCTGAGTGTATCCTCACCCAGCACTGAGGTGAAGCTGCCTGCCTGCATCCCCAGCTAGGGATGTGATACTGCCTGCGTGCATCCTAGTTCAGAACTGATGTGATGCTTGGGGGACAAAGTGGGGGGGGGGGGAGCGGGTCTTGATGGGAGACCTCAGGCTGTGCCCCTCACCTTGCAGGGCATGACTAGGGACTTCAGGCCATGCCCCCAGCCCCAGTGCCAGGCCGGGAGACCTCAGGCTGTGCCACCCAACCTGGTGCCAGGTGGGGATACCTCATGCCGCGCCCCTGTCCCAGCCCTGGGCCAGGGGATCTCAGGCCACACACCCCGCCCTGGCACTGGGCTGGGGGACTTGAGGCTGTGCCCCTGCCCAAAGGGATCTGAAACTGTGTCCCCCACCTGTGCTGGGCATGGGGACCTGAGGCTGTGCTGCCTGCCCAGTGCTGGGTTGGGGGACCTGTGGTTGTGTCCCAGCCTGGAGGGGCTTGATGGGGTTGGGGCTGGCTTGGGCCAGGATCTGGGTCTCCTGCATTTTCGAAGCATGCAGATGGTGGTTGGGGACTTGACTCTAGGTCCCATGGCATGCCCCAGACTCTGACAGGAGGGAAATTTTATATACATTTTACTAATTTTCTTCCATCTCTGACACTTCTATTATGAAGAAAGGGCAAATAGCAATATTGAAATATTTCTTCTAATTAACTCCCTTTTAATGCGCATGGATTTTGGGAACCAGGCCACTAGTTTACTATAAACATTATACTGGGGGAACTGCCCCTGTGGCATGGGTTTCTCAAAGGAAAGTGTCGTAGGCTTGGCAGTAACCCTCCAAAGATTCCTGGAGGAATGAATGACCCATTCATTTAGAAGGGGAGAATGTGTTGTTCAGGCTAGGAAAAAAGAGCTATAGTAGATACCACAGAGACCTTTCCTAGTGTCAGAGTAAAAGCAAGATGTCCTGACTATAGTGAGCTATAATATACTCTTGAATGGTATGAAATAATGTTTCCCTTCTGTAACCCTTTTTGAAATATTTTTTAAAGTTTTTATTATTTTTATTTCTTACATCACCATTTAGCCTATGCCCTCCTAAAACTCCCCCGGCAATCATCACACTGTTGTCAATGTCCATGAGTTCCCCCTCTCTTTATTTTCTTTTTGTTCAATCCTTCTACCCCCCACCCCCCACACCCCCCCATCAAAACTGTCTGCCTGCTCTCTATCTATGAGTCTATATTTTGCTTAATAGTTGTTTGTTCATTAAATTCCACATAAGTGAAATCATGTGGTACTTGTGTTTCTCTGACTGACTTATTACCTTTTTAAAAGAATTAAAAAAATTTTCAATTGAAGTTGATATACAATATTATAATAGTTTCAGGTGTACAACATTGTGATTAGACATTTATGTAACATACAAAATGATTATCCCAATAAGTGAAGCACCTATTTGACACCATACATAATCCATATTTATAAAAGCCTAAGTGACCATCACAACCGAATGGAAGACTGAGCAGTAGACAGAGTGGGGTAACTAGGCCAGCAGAGGGGTCAGTTTGAGGTGACCAAATGATTGAGCAGCAGGCTGCATGGGACAACCAGGCCAGCAGGGGGGTCAGTGAGGGGTGACCGAACAACTGAGCAGCAGGATCTGTGGGGTGACCTGGCCTGTGGGAAGGGGGGCAGTAGGGGGCAACAAGGCTGGTGGGGGGGAAGTTAGGGGCAATCACGCAGGTGAGCAGTTAGGAGCCAGTGGTCCTGATCCTGGGCCTAAACCAGTAGTTGGACATCCCCTGAGGGGTCCTGGATTGGAGAGGGTGCAGGCCAGGCTGAGGGGATTCCCCGCCCCCCCATGCACAAATTTTGTGCACCAGGCCTCTATTTATTATGATATTATCTATTATATTTCCCATGATGTACTTTATATCCCCATCACTGTTTTTATAATTGGCAATTTGTACATCTTAATCCTTTTTTTTAATTTTTTTTTTTACCCAGCCTCAATACCCTCTTGTCTGGCACCCATCAATTTGTTTTCTAAATCTATAAATTTGTTTCTGTCTTGTTTATTCGTTTATTTTATTTCTTAGATTCCACATATAAGTGAAATCATATGATATATTTTTTTTCCTGTCTAACTTATTTCACTTAGGATAATACTCTCTAGGTCCATCCATTTCAAATGACAGACTTCATTTTTTTTTTCATGATGGAATAATATTCTATCGTATATATGTACCACATCTTTATTTATTTTTCAATGGACAATTAGATTGCTTCTTTATCTTGGCTATTGGAAGAAATACTGCAATGAACGTAGGGGTACATATGTTTTTTTGAATAAGTGTTTTGCATTTCTTCAGGTAAATGCCCAGAAGTGGAATTGCTCAGTCATATAATAGTTCTATTTTTAATTTTTTGAGGAACTTCCATACTGTTTTCCATAGTAGATGCACCAATTTGCAATCCAAACAACAGTGCATGAGGTTTTCCTTTTCTCCACATCCTTGTTAAGACTTGTTGTTTGTTGATTTATTGATGATAGGCACTCTGACGGGTGTGAGGTGACATCACATTGTGATTTTAATTTTCATTTCCCTGACTATTAGAGATGCTGATCTTTTCATATGTCTCTTGGCCATTCGCTTTGAAGAAATGTCTATTCAGGTTCTCTTCCATTTTTTAATCAGATTAGGTTTTTGTTTTATTTATTTATTTATTTATTTATTTATTTATTTATTTATTTATGTTAAGTTGTATGACTTTCTTATACACAGGGTGTCCCCAAATCATGTATGAACACATTTATAGCTGATAGCTCAATTGATGTTTGTTTTTTCAGCCATTCTGAATTTGAACAAAGGAAATTCATCCTAAAATGCTACTGGAAGTTTGAAAATGCAGCTGAAGTACAAACACTGCCTTTATAATTCTTCAAATGTATACACACTTTAATAGCCGAAAACTCAATTTTCAATCCTTTTCAGGTGTAACTGATTTGAAATAATGAGTGAAGCCATATTAAGCTTTGAACAAAGAAAATTTATCCACTAATTTTTTTTTATCCTCACATGAGGATATTTTCTCATTGATTTTTAGAGAGAGAGGAAGAGAGAGAAAAATAGAAACACTGATAAGAGAGAAATACATCTATTGGTTGCCTCCCGTACATGCCCTAACCAGCTCCCAGTGAGGAGCCTGCAACGGAGGTATGTGCCTTTGGCTAGACTCAACCCTGGGACCCTTAATTCTGCAGGCCAAACGCTCTGTCCACTGAGTCACACCAGCTAGGGCCATCAAACCTTTTTCATGGGAATACATAAAAGATAAAGTTTACAGCACGAAACTGGCAACAGTTGACAAATTGAGAGTGCCCAAATACCTAACGGAATGATTCTTGATGTTTACGATTCCATTGCTTCACGTTATAAGCAGTGCCTGGATGAGAACGGTCATCAGTTTGAAAACAGGCATTGACAAAAAATTTATTCATTTCTGTAGATTCTTTTAAATGTTGAAAATAAACTCTCCGTTAATAAACACTGACTTTATAATCATTCAAAGGATGTATACATTTTTGGGACATCCTATACTTTATATATTAACCCCTTATTGGATATATCATTGGAAAATATCTTCTTCTACTCAATAGGTTGTCTTTTTGTTTTGTTGATGGTTTCATTCACTGTGCAAAAAACTCTTTAGTTTGATGTAAGTCCCATTTATATTTATTTATTTCTTTTGTTTCCCTTGCCCAAGGACACATACACATAGCTAAGAGTGATGTCAAAGATTTTACTGCCTATATTTTCTCCTAAGAATTTTATGGTTTGGGGTCTTTTATTTAAATCTTCAACCCATTTTGAATTTATTCTTGCATATGATGTAACAAAGTGATTTAAGTTTCATTTTTTGCATGTACCTATCCAATTTTCCCAATATTATTTATTGAAGAGACTATCTGTAACCCATTGTATATTCTTGTCTCCTTTGTCATAGCTTAATTGATCATATAAACATGAGTTCATTTCTGGGTTCTCTATTTTCTTCCATTAATCTGTGACTATTTTTATGTCAGTACCATGATGTTTTGATTACTATAGCTTTGTAGTATAGCCTTTAGACCAGTTAGCATGATATCTCCAACTTTGTTCTTTATTCTCAAAATTGCGTTGGCTATTTAGAGTCTTTAGTAGTTCCATTAAAGTTTTAGGATAATTTGTTTTAGTTCTGTAAAAAATGCCATTGGTATTTTAATAGTGATTGCACTGAATCTGTAGATTGCTTTGGGTATGGACATTTTAATGATATTAATTCTTGATTCTTGATTAGTATATCCTTTATTTTATTTGTATATTCTTCAATTTCTTTCTTCAATGTCTTATAATTTTCAAAATACAGGTATTTTACCACCTTGGTTAAAATTATTCCTAGGTATTTTATTCTGCTTGATGTTTGGGACAATTTGAAAAGAATAGTAGTAATTATTCTTTAAATATTTGGTAAAATTCACTTGTAATGCCATCTGTTGGGAATTATCTATGTATCTCTATTTATCTATCTATCTATCTATCTATCTATCTATCTATCTATCTATCAATCAATCATCTGTCTATCTATCTTTCTATCTATCTCATCTATCTACCTATTTTTATTATTGCTTCAATTTCACTAGTTGTAATTTGACTATTAAGATTCTCTGATTATTCCTTATTCAGTTTTAGAAGATTGTATGTTTTGGGGAATTTTTGTCTATTTCTTCCAGGTCACCCAATTTGTTGACATTTAATTGTTTGTAACATTTCTTTATAATCATTTGTATTTTTTAAAAAAATATATTTTATTGATTTTTTACAGAGAGGAAGGGAGAGAGATAGAGAGCTAGAAACGTTGATGAGAGAGAAACATCGACCAGCTGCCTCTTGCACCCCCCCTCCCCCCACCGGGGAGGTGCCCGCAACCAACGTACATGCCCTTGACCGGAATCGAACCTGGGACCTTTCAGTCCGCAGACCAACGCTCTACCTCTACCGCTGAGCCAAACCAGTTTCGGCTCATTTGTATTTTTGTAGTGTTGGTTCATCACTTCTCCTTTTTCATTTCTGATTTTATTTATTTGGGCCTCCTCTATTTTTTTTTTTTTTCTTGATGAAACTGGCTGAAGGTTTTCTAATTTTTAAAAAAATATTTTCAAATCAGCTCTTGGTTTAGGTGCTTTTTTAGACTCTATTTATTTACCCTTGGATCTTTATTGTTTCCTTCCATGTACTCACTTTGGGCTTTATTTGTTCTTTTGTTTCTATTTCCTTTAAACGTAAGGTTAGATTGTTTATTTGTCTTGTTTCTTGAGGCAGGCCTGTATTGCTATATAGTCAAATTTCCTTTTAGAATTGCCTTGGCTGTGTGCCATAGATCTGGGGTTGCTGTATTTTCATTTGACTCAAGGCATCTTTTGATTTCTTCCTTGATCTCCTTGTGAATCCATTCATTGTTTAGTAACATGTTATTTAGCCTCCATATGTTTGTGTGTTTTTCAGTTTTCTTCCCATAATTGATTTCTACTTTTATACCATTGTGATTAGAGAAGGTGTTTTGTATGATTTCAATGTTTTTAAACTTATTGAGACTTATTTTGTGGCCCAGCATGTAGTTTATCCTGGAACATGTTCCATGTGCCCTTGAGGAAAATGTATATTCTGCTGAAGTGTCCTAAAAATATTCATTACATTTATATAGTCTTATATGTAATTTAAGGCCACTGTTGTCTTATTGATATTCTGTATGAATGATATATTAATTGATGTTAATAAGTGTATTACTGGGATATATCCCTTTATGTCTGACAAATTTGCGTCATAAATTCAGATTCTCCTATATTGGGTACATAGGTGGTTATGAGAGTTATTTTCTTTTGCTATATCGGTTCCTTTATCATTATGAAATGCCCTTTTTGCCTCTTATTGCAGTCCTTGTGTGTGTCTGTGTCTTTTGATTTGAAGGGGTCTCCTGTAGGAAGCATATGTATGGGTCTTGATTGTTTAGCCATTCAGTCACCCTTTTTCTTTTTAATGGAGCATTTACTCCATTTACATTTAAAGTGGTTATTGCCAGGTATTTAGCTATTGACATTTTATAATTTGTTTTTCTGAGTAGTTTTGTAGTTCTTTTCTGTTCTTTCTCCAGTTTCTGTTTGTTGGGAGTTATCTATTATCTATCTATAATCTATCATCATCATCTATCTATTCTCTTATTTTCTTTATATGTTAATGACTTTCTATAGTGTTGTGTTTGGATCCCTTTCTCTTTTATTCTTGTAGAATTTTTTATTTGCTGTTACTATGTGCTTCCTAGATACCAAGTTACATTTATAGCAATCTATTTTAATTTGATGGTCTCTTAACTTAGAACACATTCTAAAATAAGTACATTTGTAAATTACTCTCTCCACATTTATGTTTTTGGCATTATTTTTCACCTCTTGTGTGTGTTTATATGTAGCCCTTAATTTATTGTTGTAATTATACACAATCTTCTTATTTTTAAACCTCTGTATTTTAGTTGATTCACTGCTTTTATTATATGTGTACCTCTGTCAGTGAGAATTTGCTTTCTTTCCAATATTTTCCTATTCATATTTTTAATCTTTTCATTTTTTCTTAAAGAACTCCTTTTAACATATTTTTGTGTTCTGATTTAGTGGGGACAAAGTCTTTTAGTTTTTTTTCTTGACTGGAAAATTCTTTATCTCTCAGTTCTAAATAATCTCCCTTGATGGGTAGGATAGTTTTGGTTGTATGTCATTGATTTTCATTACTTTGAATATTTTGTGTTAATCCTTTCACACCTCCAAAGTTTGTGCTGAGAAATAAGGTGATAATCTTATGTGAGTTTCTTTGTATATAAGTAGCTGTTTTTCTCTTGCTAGTTTTAAGATTCTCTCTTTGATTTTAATCTTGGCATTTTAATTCTGAGGTGTCTTGGTGTGGGCCTCTTTGGGTTCATCTTGTTTGTGACCCTCTGTGCTTCCTGGACTTGTCTAGTTCCTTCACCTGATTAGGGAAGTTTTTCAGTCGTTATCCCTTAAAATAAGTTCTCAATCCCTTGCTCTCTCTCTCTCTTCTCCTTCTGGTATCCCTATGATGCAAATGTTGGTGTGCTTGATGTTGTCTGAGAGTTAAACTATCCTCATTTTTAAAAATTCTTTTTTTTCTATTATAATTGGGTGTTTTTTTTTTGTTTTGTTTTGTTTTTTGTTTTTGTTTTTTTGCTATCTTATCTACCAGATTGCTGATTTGATCCTCTGATTCATCTAATCTATTGTTGATTCTTTCTAATATCTTCTTCATTTCAGTTATTATATTCTTTATTTCTGAGTGGTTTTGGAAAGATAAGCATATACAGCAGTCCCTCAAATGACATAATATTGTTTAATATCACTTTATTATAATGTTCATGGGATGCTGTAGAAACTTAAATGTTGTTTATATCAATTAGCCTATGGTAAAACTGATTTCACTATATGTTGTTTTGCCATAGTTCCAAGAACCTATTGATGATGTCAAGTAAGGATTTACTGTACTTTCCTTGGCCTCAACACCCCAAACTGTTAAAATGAATCCTACCTCTGACTGAAGACAGCCCATGAGGGGCAAGAAAAACCCCAAAGTTTGAGAGCCAAAGGAAGACTGACCTGGTTGGGATGAGCATCTCTGTAGGATACTTGGCCTTCAGGATTTTGTTCAACTCAGTGGTTGCAGATTCTAAGTGTTGGATAGCAGCAGCCTAAGGGGAAAAAGAGTGTTCAGACTTGGGACCTTAGCAATTTGACATAGTGTGCTACCCATCCTCATTCCCTCATTATTTTTTTTTACCATCAACACAACTGCCTCTCTGGAAATAATCATAATTATGGAATTTTTTTAAAAGATCCTCTTAATAATCTTAGCTCTGTGGTCATTCTAAAAATAAAAGATCTATATTGTTTCCTCTCACTTAAATTAATATCATATAAAGGTGATAATATTTATTCCTTGTTTCAAATGAACAATCTCATATTACATAGATAGTAAATATTATACTAGATCTGGGATTTGAACCCACATTTTCCCAGTACCAGATTATATCCTCTTATATAATAATACTAGTAACTGGAGGCCTAATGCACAAAATTAGTGGAAGGACTTGGCCCCTGCTGCCATGGTGGCCACCTCTGCTCAGCCTCTGCCCACCATGGCTTTGTATGGAAGGAAGGAAGTCTGGAAGGACATCCAGTCTAATTAGCATAGTATACTTTTATTATTATCTACACTAATAAAAAAGAAAGATGCAAATTGACCATACCTCCACAATGCCCACCAGCCAATCAGAAATGAGTATGCAAATTAACCCAACAAAGATGGTTGGTTAATTTGCATCATAGGTGCCAAGCGGCCAGGGGTGGGTGGTGCCAAGTGGCTTGGGTCCCAGGGATTGGCACCAAGCCCACAGCCTCCTAGGACCATTGCTGGCCTTGGGAGGCAAAGGTGGCATGTAGGTTGACAGCAGATAGCAGGGCCTGCTTGGCCATAGCTGTAGTGACCCGTGAGCAAGCAAGCGAGCCCGCAGGAAGCACCCAGCAGGGCCTTCTTGTCCATCGCCCTGGTGTGGAGCCGGCAGGCCCCACAGAGAGCAGAGAACCTTGGGGAGTGGGCCTAAGCCATCATCAGTAGGACATTCCCTAAGGGCTCCTGGAGAGGGTGCAGGTTGGGCTGAGGGACCCCCTACCCATGCACAAATTTTGTGCACCAGGCCTCTAGTAGATAATAACACCATCTATTTATATAGCACTTACTATGTGCCAGGCTCTGTTCTAAGCTATATGTATTTTTTTTCATGTAGTCCTTATAATAAGTATTATTATCCCAGTTTCACAGAACAGATAACTGAGGCATAGGAAAAGGGGTAGCTGATAAGTAGAAGAATCAGGATTCAATTCCAGATAGTCTGGCCCTTGAGTCTATAATTTTAACTACAACTGCATCTACCAAGTCCTGATAAGCCTATATCTTTAATATATCTTAAATGAGTCCACTTCTCCTTATCTCACAAGTAAAAATCATCATTATCTTTTATCTAGACAATTACAACATCTTCAGTCTTTCTCCTTTCTTCTAATCTTTATTCCTCCAATTGTTTCTCTACCTACAATGGAACTCCCCTGCTTAAAACCTTTCTATTAGATAGCAAAATGGATAGATTTGTGATAAAGTATAGTAAAATATTAATGGCAGAATCTACCATTTAACATTTTCTATGTGTTTGAAAAATTTCCTAATAAGGTAAAAAAATCTTCTATAATTCTCATTGTTCTTAGGATAAAAGTTCAAATTTCCTACCATTGTTTACCATGTTCTTCCTGGCCTGCTCCTGATTACTTCTCCAGTTTCATCTTTAGTAGAACTTCCTGTATATGCCTTGCCCCTATGCTTCAGCCATGATGAATGCATTTCAGTTGTGTGACTATTCCATGCTCTCTCTTGCCTTTGGAACAACACACACTGTTCCATCAATTTGGAAGAGGCCTCCTCTTTCCCACTATCCTGGTTAACTCTGGTCCTTAAATATCTTCTGAAATGGTAGTTATTTTGAGAAGCTTTCCCTGATTTCCCAAGACTGGCTTATCACCCTTGCTACTTCTTTATATACTAAAACTCATACTAATTAATACATTTTTTTCTACCACTGCAACTATTAGTTCTATCACAGCATGGACTGTTATTCTTCTTTAACAACTAGCATATAAAAACAGCTGCTAGAACTGTATCTCACACTTCATAATTAATTCATAGTTTCCATACTTATTTTGAGTGGATGAATGAGTACTAGTAAATGGCTGAATGAATTATGCCACAGTACCTATCACCATTTTTTGTAAATAGTTGCTGATCGACATGTCCCTAATTTTCAATGATCTCATTCTCATCAAGCTCATAGAAAATACAATAACTTTTCTCTGGGTTTTGCCTATTATTTCACTGTGCAATAAATATATTGGCCTGAAATATAGCTGGGTAGTACTTACTTCAAATCGGGGTATATCCATTTCAACTTGCCCTCTTAGCAACGGGGTTTGTCTGGGAGTCTCACGAATCATTACACTCCATCTGAAATGAAGTTCAAAGACAGACAGATATTTAGGACTCTGTTTTATCATAGGCAGATATTTATGTGTTTATGTGTTGGGGAGAGATGTAGGGGATGCCCAAGCTATCTCAGGTCACTTGACATTAAGATATACCACAAGGTAGGGGGGTCCTCATGGCTTCTCTAGAACAGTGTGATGGAAGGAATTCCCTTATAGGGTTCTCAGAAAGCAGTGCTTCTTAATCAGAGGTAAATATCAAGATCACCTGAAGTGCTTTTATAAAATACCCATATCAGACCCTATTCAAGACCCATTGAACAAGAATCTTTGTGATAGGCCCTGGCTTGAGAAAGCACCCAGGATATCCTCAGGGGAAATCATATATCAAATACTATGCCCCAGCATAGAAAGACTTTCTTATCAGAAGATAAGATGGCAATACTCTACATTCAGTAAAGCATAGACAGTTTAGGCTAATTGTGTATGAACTCTCATTTTTTTAAGTTTCTTTGATAACTTAATGAAAGTGTAAAATAGTTTCTATACTATTCTAGAATAGAGAGATGGACACTTCCCCATAGAAAAAATGTGCTTACATAGCTATACAATTTAAAGAAGGTTCACAGAACCCTTGAAATTTACCCACAGGGATATTTATTTAGGATATTTTGAGTTGATGAAGGGCTTCAGTGATGTTTGAAGGATACATAGTAGGCCATAGTTTCCTAATAGCCAAGCCCTCTACCTCCCAAACTGAGGACATAAAGGCTCTATGAGGGAGATAAAAGCATTCCTGATTGAAGTGATGTAATGAAATAACTAGTGTACAACTGGAAAAGGCACAATAGCCTGATCTTTCAGCCACTCACCTGTCTAGAATTCTCACACTGGCCTGTTCCACTCTGTTGAGGATGTCCAGAGGTGACTTGTTTTTGTTCCAGAACGCACCCCAGCCTAGGACACGGGCCAGATCATTGCCGGTTCCAAGGGGGATGACTGCCAGCTGACACTGCAAAAACAAAACCAGGTACCCTTTTCAGACAGAACTATGAAGAGTCACCCATAAAAGAACACAGAAGGCACTCTTTGGGAAAGACTGTGATCTCAAAGCCAGTGGCAATAAGGGATTTATGATTTGGGGAATTATGTTAGGAAGATGTTTGAAACTGAGTGAAATTTTCCCAAAGGGGTTGAGCCCCACTCTTGGCCATACAGAGCCTACCAGGTAAAGGGAAAAGTTGATGGAATATGCCAAATATGTATATCTATGTTTATAAAAGAAAAATATAGTCACAGATTTCTATTTAGGCTGGGCCAAAGACATAAAGTGTCTTAAGAGACAAAGCTATGGGATTCAGAAGAGCAGAGTGTTGCTTAGGGACTCAAGGAAGAAAATGGAGGAAATTAGGGGCTGAACATTGCCTGAGGCCACTTCTTTTTCTTTTGTTGTTCTCCTCCCCTTCAAATCTTCATTTTGGGTCATTGTTTTCCTGTTAACTCCTTCATTTCTCTATCTATAGGTAGACAACCAGAAAATGATCTAGATCCGTGGTCGGCAAACTACAGCTCACGAGCCACAAGTGCCTCTTTGGCCCCTTGAGTGTGGCTCTTCCACAAAATACCATGGCCTGTTTTGAAGAAGTGGCATTAGAAGAAGTGTAAGTTTAAAAAATGTGGCTCTCAGAAGAAATGTCAATCATTGTACTGTTGATATTTGCCTCTGTTGACTAATGAGTTTGCCGACCACTGCTCTAGGTGAGCAGGTTTAGTTTGGAAATCTACCAGTCAGGCTAAGTATGAAACCAATGGGAAACATGTATTTTACAGACAGGGAGAGTGAAGACTAAGGACTTTTGGGGATGAGAAGCTTCACACCTCAGTCTTCCTAGCAATGGGTAAACAGTCAGCTAGAGACTCACCCTTTCGTGCAATCCTAAGGCATCAATCAGAGATAAGACCCAGCTCACACTGCCGTCTCCACCACAAACGACAATGCGAAAGCGAACAAAGTTCTTGAACATGGACAGCCTGGAAGAAAAGGGAGAAAAGGAAAACATTTAATGGACTGTTGGGTTTTACAACTCTTTCCTATAATGTTTCCTACAAAGGGCTCAAGGACTGTTTCTTCTTTACTCTGTTAACAAGCTACAAATTTCTTTCCCTTAGCCACTATCTCTATGCTTTCCTAAAGTTACAGGCAATGCTCCCATAGGCAGTCCTGGAAATCAGGCCTTGCCTTAACCCATACTAATCCTATGCCAAACCTTGCTCTAGAAGCTACTAGTAACTAGCTAAGTCTACCTGCTGAGGTACAAGAAGAGCGTCTCACATGGTGGCCAATGGGCTCACTGAAGCCAGGGTTGAATAGCCAGATAGTCCTCAAATAAAAAAGGCCTGTAGTAGAGATATAACTGGCCCCATTGGAGAGGGGAGGGATGAATGACAGGAAAGATTGACGGCAATATCCATTTGCCTCCTTTGAGGTATGGACACGGTTTTGCTTCTTTTAACCAGAAAAGGTGGAGCAAATCTGAGAGCAGGATATGGGCTTGAAAGGATTCCTCCAAAATACCAGTCAACCCCAAATACTCTGGAATTATGTGTCTGTGTCCTGACTTCAGAAAATAGGTATTTCCAGCCCAGATACTAGAACTAATTCCAGGAAACCTATCCTACTCTAGAATGTGTAAAAGGCAAAGCCCCACTATACCCCTTATGCCATGCTTACCCGGCTCCAGGTCCACCCTTCGATAGGTCAAACACTTGAGATGGATTCAGGTATTGCTTAAATTTTCTGAGGAAGATTACTCCCTGATGATCGCCACTTTTCGAGTTGATGAAGATGAGAAGGGGGCATGAACAGGCTGATGACCAATCAAGATTCCAGAAGTCTGAAGATACTGCTAACTGGCCTGATAGAAAGAGAAAAAGAAGAAAAAAAGAACAGGGTTATTGAAATGGAAACAAGATATAACTTAATATAACTTAATATTAAATTTTGCAAACACTTTTTAAAAAGAGTTTTCTTGATATACAATGTATATACAAAATTTAAACAAAAGGCAATATGTTAACACAATAGTAGTTAAAACATTAATTCATTTATTTAAAAAATATGTATTGTGGGCATTCTCTGTGCTCGTCCTTGTTATATTTTGAGAATACAGGGGAAAACAAGATAACAAAAGTGGAACTTGTATTCTACTGGAGGTAGACAGATCATAACACATAAATATAAAAAAATAATGTGATATGAAGAAAACTAAGTAGAAAAAGGGAATGGAGACTGGAAGGGGTGTTGTTTTAGACAGGTGATTAAGGATAGCTTTCCTGTGGAGGTGACATATGAGATGGGATTTGCATAAAGTGAAGAAGTGAGCAATGCATATATCTGGAAGAAGATATTTTTTGATGGGTGGGGATGAAAAATAAGTGCTAAGACCCAGAGAAGAGAGACTGTGTGAAGTGTCTGACGACCAGTGAAGAGAATAGCATGCCTGATGTTGAGTGAGTAAGGGGGAGGGCAGCAGAAGATGAAGTCAAAGAAGTAATAAGGGCCAGATATAATTGGTAGAATCAACATAATTAAAATGTCCATATTTCCCAAAGCAATCTATAGATTCAATGTAATCCCCATTAAAATACCAATGTCAAATTATAGCGGGGAGGATAGGGAGATATGGGGAAGATAAGAGATCAATCGAAGGACTTGTATGCATGCATATAAGCAAAATCAATGGACAAAAAAACTCTGGGGGAGGGGGAGGGCATGTATGGACGTGGGGGGCAATGGAAAGATATGTACACATATAATACCTTAATAAAAAAAGAAACAAAAAGAAATAAAATACCAATGGCATATTTCACAGACCTAGAACAAACTCCCCAAAAATTCACATGGACTAAAAAAGACCCTGAATAGCCACAGCAATCATGAGAAAGAACAAACTTGGAGGGATCACAATACAAGATATCAAGCTGTATTACAAGGCCACTGTTCTCAAAACTGCCTGGTTCTGGCACAAGAACAGACATATAGACCAATGGAACAGATTGGAGAACCCAGAGATCAACACAAGCCATTATGCTCAATTAATATTTGACGAAGGAAGAGCATACAGTGGCATCAAAACAGTTTCTTCAATAAATGGTTTTGGAAAAATTGGACAGATACATGCAAAATATGAAATTAGATCACCAAATTACACCGTACACAAAAATAAACTCAAAATGGATAAAGGACTTAAGCATAAGGCGGGAAACCATAAAAATCTTAGAATAATCCACAGGCAGCAAAACATCAGACATATGTCATAGCAATATCTTTACCATACAGCTCCTCGGGCAATGGAGACTAAGGAGAAAATGAACAAATGGGACTACATAAAAATGAAAAGCTTCTGCATAGCAAAAGAAACCATAAACAAAACAACAGGAAAGCCCACTGCATAGGAGAACACATTTGCCAATGTTATATCCGAGAAGGGCCCAATATCCAACATTTTCATGGAACTCATACAACTTAACAAAAGTAAGATAAACAACCCAATAAGAAAATGGGCACTGATTGAAAGAGGACATACAGAAAGCCAAGAGACATATGAAAACATGCTCAAAGTCACTAATCATCTGAGAGATGCAAATCAAAACAACAGCGAGGTACCATCTCACATCCTGTCAGAATGGCTATTATCAACAAATCAACAAACACAAAGTGATGGCGAGGATGCGGGAGAAAGGAACTCTAGTACACTGCTGGAGGAAATGCAGAATGGTGCAGCCACTGTAGAAAACAGTATGGTGTTTCCTCAAAAATTTAAAAATGGAACTTCCATTTCATCCAGTAATCCCACTTCTATGAATATATCCCAAGAAAACAGAAACACTGGCAACCCCATTTAGCATTTCCCCCAGAGTTAGGAGCATCTGCATTTGAGCAAGGCCAAGTTTGTCCAGAGAATCTTTTGAACAATTTGATTAAAATTGGGTAGCAATGTAGATTGAAATGTAGCAATTTCAGGCAGATTCATAACCAGGTAAATACTTATGTCCACAAGATTGATTTTGCATAGGCTGATGTGACAGAGACTACAGAGAATATGCCCACATACATATACACCATAAATATCAACATTCACCATCCCAAAGGTCTAAAGAGAAATGAATTATCTTTATACATATGCACATTCCTACTCCTCAGAAATATTTGACTGGCTGAGGAGAATAATTTAATTACAGTCCTTTTCTCCAATCTTTTCATCTCCCCTTCCTCCCCAGTATATTTCTGAGATTAAAGTTTAACTACTCACCATCTCCTTGTGGGTCGGTAAGGGCGGTTGGAGGAATGATGGAATTTCGGTGGCGCCCAAACCAACATTCCTTGGAAAACCAACGCCTGCAGTCATCATGCACCTGAAAGACATGAAAGACAAGAACATTGATCAGTTTTGAGTTCCAATTCCAAGATTTGAGCACACAGTTTTCAAATCTCCCTTTCTGAAATTTAGTGCCATACACATACCCCTGACTCAACCTCTCTCTACCTGGAGCCTAAACCATCCCTGAGTGTGGCCTCTGAACTCAGTTTCTTTCAAAGGTGGCTTTCAGCAAATACCCATCATAGGCACTGAGAGGACACCAGTGTTAAAGTACACATGTAGTGGCATACAAAATGGGGAATTTACCTGCAGCATGAGAGTGCTAATCCTAATAATATGCCACTACACTTTAATCCTTACAACAATTGTGTGTGGTAGAGAAGACATTAAGTTCATTTTAGAAATGAAGATACCAAAGCTGATAGCAGTAAAGGATTTTGATTAAGGTCAAACAGCTTGGAAGTGACAGAGTTGAGACTGATATCTTCCATACTAGTGACCATTTTTCTGAAATTTATGACATCTTCAAGCACCACTTCCTGGACAATTATACCATTTTTAGAGGACATGAGCCTTGACTAATTACGCAAAAACAATAAAAAGACAACCAGAGGATACCAGAATCTTTTTTTTTATTTGAGATTATCATTGACATACAATATTATATTAGTTTCAGGTATACAACATAATGATTTTATATTTTTGTATATTGCAAAGTGATCACCAAAATAAGTCTAGTTAACATCTGTCATGTTACATAATCACAAAATTCTTTTCTTGTGACGATAATTTTTAAGATTTACTCTTTTGGCAACTTTTAAATGTACAATACAGTATTATAGTCATCATGGTGTACATTAATTACATTAATTAATTATATTATGTATTTACATTATTTGCTTGTCCTCACTCTGCTCCGCCATCTTGACCTGCTGCATAGCCAGGGTAGCGCCGTCTGAGGACAGAGACTGGAGGCTGTCCATGTCTATGCTCACGGGCGTGGTGATCGTCACAACAGCTCCTTCTGACATGGTGAGCCTATTGGGTGGTGGCTGTGTGGCTCTGGATGCAATGGAGTCAGGCCAAAACCTCTGAACTGGTCTGTTCTGAGCAGTTTTCTTCTTTGTTTTTGGAATTTCTGAACAAGTAGAATCAAACATCGGCTGAAGAATTCGTGTTCTAGCATTGATGAACCAGTTGTTAACTTGGAATAGTGTCAAATTTGTCTGAGCAGCAATCTGTTTTTTTTCTCATCTTCTGTTGGGTAGGGATGCCCTATGTGCTGAAAGACCAGGGACCGCATCACACTGGTGGCATGCTTTGACACAACTCGCCTCTTGTTCTTGGATGAGCCATTGTCTTGATGCAAGCTGCTCAAATCTTGGTTTAACTTTAACTGAAGCTGGGAGTTCTGGATCTTGATTGTCTCAGGTGACAACGCCAGTGTCACTACTTGGTCTTGAGGAGTGGTGACTATAACAGGCTGATAAACTGTACCACCTGCCACTGTTGCCATAGTTACATCCCCCTGTTGCAGCGTGGATACAGGCACCACAATTCCTTGGGGGCTGAGAGTGCCTAAGATGGCACTTTGAATCTGCTGGGACTGGACAGGGGAGTACGGGCTTCCAGATTCTCCACTTAAGAGAGTTTCACTGTTCATTTTAGTTTTTAGACAAGCAATATATTGACTGCAGAAATCTTTGCAGAGTTCATTCACCTTTTCCAGCTCAAGAAGATGAATAGGTAAAACTTGGATTGCTTTGACCATTAAATTGTCAGTTTCTGGATCTTCACAAAAGAAGGGTTTTCATTTCTTCTCTTGCTCCTTACAAAATATTCAATGTCCAAATCAAAACTGGCAAAAGGTGTGTCTTCTGAGCCCTGGGTGGATTGCTCACATTTTTCAAACACCAAAGCTAATAATGGAAACAGTGGATGCCTATAAATGGCCTGCTTATCTTCATCCATCGGTGTCTGGGACCCCACAGGGGGAGGGCTCACTCCTTCCACATCAGGTTCAGAGCAGTTGGGATCTTGCTCTGTTTTTAACTCTGTTACTACCGTGTTTCCCCGAAAATAAGACATCCTTCAAAAATAAGACCTAGCGCATGGAAAGATAAGACATCCCCTGAAAATAAATCTAGCGCAACTTTGGTAGAAAAAATTAATATAAGACACTGTCTTATTTTCAGGGAAACAGGGTACTTGTATTTGTTGCCCATCTTGATAACTGTCTATGCTTAATGTCTGTGTAGCCATCATGGTTAAGTTTATTATAAGACATCAAATCATCCTGAGTCAAAAGCAAATGGTTAGGCTCATATCTGTGCACTTAAGTCCTTTAGTTGACACACATATGAGCATAACCAGTGGTCAAGGACAATAGGGGCATGGGGGCATGAGTGAGGGTGGGGGGTTGAGGACAAATATGTGATACCTTAATAAAGAAATTAATTAATAAAAAGATTTCAAGAAAAAAAATCAAGCTGTATAATTAATAACCTAAAACGTAAGGGGGTGAAATAAAACTGTAAAATATAAAAATACTATTGAAATTAAGTTGTAAAAAAAATAAAAAAGTAATACAAATATAAATTAAAAAAACAAAAAGCAAATGGTATCTGAGCAACTAGCAGAGCAGAGCTGCGTGTCCCGGTAAAGAGCAGATGGTGAGGAACAGGTCCTATGGCCTGGGTGCCAATCTTCATCACACTGACAAGCGGCTGCAGCAATAGGGACCCACAGTGCCGCGCCTGCATCCAACTGTCACTCCTACATTAGGTTACACGACACAGCCTCACCCAATGGTGAGGGTTCCCTTTTCAACACATACTGGCTAACACTTGTTTTACTTGTCCTTTTGATAATAGACATTCTAACAGGATGAGATGATATCTCATTGTGATTTTTATTTGCATTTCACTGATATTTATGAGGTTGCATGTGCCCACGACTGGAATTGAACTCTTTAGTCCACAGGCAAATGCTCTACCCATTGAGCCAAACTGGCTAGGGCATCTGAGCCCATTTTTAATGGGACATATTGAGTTATATGAGTTTTTAAAAATATATATTTTGGATATTAATTTCTTATTAAATATGTATTTTTCAAATATTCTCCCATTCAGTAGGTTGCCTTTTCATTTTGTAGATGGTTTCTTTGCAGTGTAGAAGCTCTTTAGTTTGATGTAGCCCCATTTGCTTATTTCTGCTTTATTTACCTTTGCTTTTAGTGTCAAATCAAAAAAATCATAACCAAGACCAATGTCAAGAAGCTTACTGCTTATGTTTCTAGGAGTTGCTTATATTTTCTTCTAGGAGTTTGATATCTTATATTCATGTCTTCAATCCATTTTTTTAAAGCTTTAATGTTGAAAGTATTACATAGGTCCTCCTTCCCTCCACCTTTAACCTCTTCCAGCCCACTCCCACCCTCCCCTTTTCCCGGAGGCCCTCACCACTCCATTGTCCATGTCCACGGGTTATGCATAGATACATACAAGTTCACTGGTTGATTTCTTCCAACCCACTCTCCCTTGTCTTCCCTCTGAAGTTCCACAGTCCGTTCATACTATTATGACTCTGGGTCTCTTTTTGATCATAAGTTTATTTGATTCATTAGTGGTTTGGGTCAATTCTTATTTTTTTTTTCTGTTCCATTGATCTGTATGCCTGTTCTACGCTGTTTTGAGAATGGTGGCTTTGTGGTCTACTTTGATATGTGGTATTGTGATTCCTCCAACTTGTTCTTTCCCAAGATTGCTGAAGCTTTTCAGGGTCTTTTTTAATTCCATATAAATTATTGGAGTATTTGTTCTAAGTCTGTGAAATATGCCATTGGTATTTTATTTTATTTCTTTAATTTAAATTCTTTATGTATTACATATGTCTTCTTTTTTCCCCATTGACTTCTCCCTATCTGCTCTCACTCCCCCAGCACATGCCCTCACCCCCTAGTGTCTGTGTCCATGGGTTATTCTATTATGCATGCATACAAGTCCTTTGGTTGATTTCTTACTCCCCACCCCACCTTCCCTCTGAGGTTTGAGTATCTGATCAACGCTTCCCTGTCTCTGGATCTGTTTTTGTTCATAAGTTTATGTTGTTCATTATATTCAATAAATGAGTGAGATCATGTAATATTTATCTTGCTCTGACTGGCTTATGTCACTTAGCATAATGCTCTCCAGTTCCATCCATGCTGTTGAAAATGGGAAGAATTCTTTTTTTTTTTTTTTACAGCAGCATGTATTCCATTGTGTAGATGTACTACAGGTTTTTAATCCACTCATCTGCTGATGGGCACCTAGGCTCTTTCCAAATATTGCTATTATAGATTGTGCTGCTATGAACATAGGGGTGCATATATTCTTTCTGATTAGTGTTTCTGTTTTCCTGGGATATATTACTAGAAGTAGGATTACTGGGTCAAATGAGAGTTCCATTTTAATTTTTTGAGAAAATTCTATAATGTTTTCCACAGTGGCTACACCACTTTGCATTCCCACCAGCAGTCCAAGAAGGTTCCTTTTTCTCCACGTCCTCACCAGGACTTTTCCTTTGTTCATCTGTTGATGATAGCCATTCTGACAGGAGTGAGGTGGTATCTTACTGTTGTTTTGATTTGCATCTCTCAGATGATTAGTGACTTTGAGCATGTTTTCATATGTCTCTTGGCCTTCCTTATGCCTTCTTTCAAAAAGTACCTATTTAGGTCCATTGCCCATTTTTTTAATTGGGTTGTTTATCTTCCTTTTGTTAAGTTGTATGAATTCTCTATAAATGTTGGAGATTAGGCCCTTCACGAATATAACATTGGCAAATATGTTCTCCCATGAAGAAGGATTTCCTGTTGTTTTGTTTATAGTTTCTTTTGCTTTGCAGAAGCTTTTTATTTTTATGTAGTCCCATTTGTTCATTTTCTCCTTAGTCTCCATTGCCCTAGGAGCTGTGGCAGTAAAGATATTGCCCTAGCAATACTACACAATGGGATATATGTCTGCTATTTTGCTGCCTATTGCTTCCTTAAGA